AGAGGAAGGGCGATTCTTTTTTAATTTCCGTTTCGCTGACACAGCTTTAGCAGAAATCTCTCTTTAGTCGTTTTCGTCGACAAAACAAATAGCAATATTGCTCTCCGCGTCTTCCGCCATTTTTTTCTGCCTCAATTCGTGAAGGACGCGTGGCTCTGAGCGTGGGTCATCCACGCGGAACACATTCGCGCTATGTGATTGGCTGTTGTCTAATCCCTCTTGGGATCTGTGGTCTTAAAAATAACTCGAGACGAATTACCTATGGAATAGGGTGTGTATGGAGGATGCCTTCTCTGTCCCCTTTATCCTCTCTTGTTCACATTCAAGGACAAAAATTTTATGCAGCACCGATGCTATAATTATTCAACATTTCGTGCGTATCCCTCTTTGCGCATTATTGGATCCTAGGATCCAGCCTGCTCTATCCTTTGGAAACAGGCGACTAACCTTGGTGATTTGGAGAGCACCATAACGGGTTGTCTTCGCGAAGAAAATCAAGCTTTCAATGGTGGAGCACAAACTCTTTTGATTTATTTGATGTTGATTTATTTTAAACTACTTTAAAACAGCTAAACAGCAATGGTAGTATTTCACACATTGCAAATATCTACGAATCAGAGTTTTTCTAGTATATGACTTAATTTAGCACAACAGCTGCCAAAACCTAGAAATGCACTTCCCTGTTGAATGTCATGACAAAAACCAGTCACCCACGACACCATTTTTTACCTTAAATAATAAATCACACGGCTTTTTAATACTCCAACCAAGCAATTTTATAAGAGATGTCGCTGCAAATACCTTCAATAAGTCCATTAACCTTGGCCGCGTATCTCAAGTGTACATTAATATGGCTTTTGGCAAGGTCATTTAACGGAACACACGATCCGTGAAATAATTAAGGCAATCCAATAAAATATGCACATAGGGACTTTTTTGTTGGGTATTTATGGTTTTTGGGAGGAAACAACAAGAATGGCTTGAATTCCGTTTAACGGGGAGAACACAAGTGACAGTAGTTCGGCAAATGCCTTCTGGAAGAACAACCGCTATCTGTGAGGCTTCTGACGGTTTTGTATTGGCACCGTTATTTCTTCTCTATGTCAATGACATGTGACCTATTTCAAATAAGTTCAAGAGCCATAGATTATGGCTCTTGATAAGTTAAATTGTTATCTGTTCGCTGACGATACTAAAATGCTCTATTCTCATTAGAAAAAAATACATATATTGAAGTAAAAGTAAAAAAAAAGGTAAAGAATACGACACATAGTGCACCTGCAGTTAAAAATTCAGTTAAACGTTAGCGTCTTTATCAAACTTACGCCATTTTGTTCCGCACTAGACACTAATAAACACTGGAAACTCACTTACCACTTCCTATTTGCGCTATGAGCTAATTGCATGAAGACAAGCGAAAAAACCACTTTTATTTAGCTTTTGATTCTCGGGAAAATAAATACGAAATCCCATTATTTTTTTAGCATTTTCAGATTTTACCTTTTGACTCTTTGCACAATAAACTGCTCGCTGAGACAATGTGGGATAAAAGTAATGTCCTTTTCCACGCTAATCTTAAGAAGGGATTTTTCCCTACCGCGAAAAAAAATGCTACAATACTCGATCCTCGGTCTCCAAAATCCAAGACATAAACATATTTCCAAAGAAATGGTTTTCAAGAATTCGTGCAATTCTATGGAAGGAGATACCAACAAATCTCAGGACACTTCCCTTCCGTATCTTAGAAGCTGAGGCCGAACTCGTATGAAGATTGGTAGTCCATCGCAATGGGAGTAAAACTTATCATGACTCCTCATAGCTGAGTTTAAATTCATCTATTTTTATTTCTAGACATTTATCCACTTTTTCTGCTGTGTTATTGTCTGTAATGAAACAGCAAGATGAAGCAATTCTTCTTTACAATTCGCAGTTTCTTTTATTTTGTTTTAACTCTTATTCTTCTCTATCATAGATATTTATTCACTTAATTTTGTCGGCAGCATTCTTTTTCCTTTATTTTCCTAACCATGGCCTCGTAGATTAGACCCGGACGCCAAGACGTTATATATTATACGAACTATACAAAGCTGTTAAAACCTTTTCTTGTCATGATGTCTTGCTACGCTCCTAAATCATACTTCAACTAAAGAAAAGTTAGGTTTTCTGTGGCGGTATTAATTTAAGGTTCGTTTCATGTAAGGGAATACAAGGCAGTTTTAGATTCTAGATTCCACGTCGTGGATCCCGGATCCGGAATCCAAATTCCAGACTTTCTGTAAGTGGAACTTGGATTACGGATTGCAATGGTTAGTGGGATTCCGTATTCCTTGTCCTGTATTGCAGATTTCACAGCAAAACATTGCTGAATTCCGGATTCCACAAGCAAAAAGTTTTCCCAGATTCCTGACTCGCGATTCCCTTACATGGGGCGATAATGCAATAGCGAAACGACTGGTCGTCTATGCCCTATCTTCACTCAAGTGAATTACTTTTTTCAAACTACTTCTTACAATATTGCGAATTTCTCGATAACGCCAACAGTAAACTAAAGGGTTCAAAGATGAATTCAAGAAAATAATAAGGAACGTGGCATAATTAGCTATCAATGGCGACATCCCTTCCGTATCAATGAGCACAAATAATACAGAGACATAAAATGGAAGATAACAAAACAGGAATGTTACATAAACGATTAAAGCATTCCAAGCGGATTTCTTTTGACGATGTAAATCCTCTACTTCAAAGTTTTGCAGCTGAAGTTGACTTCGTATTTGAATGCGATGATATCTCACAACTTTATAGATACGCATATACGCCACAGTTGTTGATAGAAGTAAAATAAATTGAACAGTAACGATGATCATGTTGGCTACGGTGAATAAAATGGATACTGAGGCAGCGACACCACTTGTTAACCAAATCATAATCAGCGCGACATTGACACGTTTTGATGTTACGAGTTCGCGATATCGTAAGTGCAACAAAATTGCGAGAAGTCTGTCAACTGCAACAGCTGCAATAGTAAAAAAAGATGCGGAACAGAGGAAAAAAGCGAAGAAATAGCACGCAGTTACAATTACTGGGCAAAACGAGGCAAAGTTACTGTCACCATTCGATGTCTTCGATAACATCACTGCGATATTAACGCCTAACATCAATTGCGGCAACATTCCTACCGCAAGATCCGAGAGAGCGAGACTCAGGAACAACTTCTTCACTGTGGCCGGTATCGATGATGATTTCCATAAGGCGTGAATAACTAAAAGATTTCCAAGAACAGCCACAACAGAAAATACCAGGTTTAAAATACAGCAGCAAGCCAGCATAAAAGCTGAGTGAAACTGGACAAGTTTTGATAGAATTTGTAACGTATAAGTGCAAAACTTGGAAGCCATAGGGAAATTGTACCAAGAGGTTTAAAGTACGATTGGGTCAGATTCGATTGGCTTCCCTGATAATACACGTTGCCTTTTCTAAAGACAATCTTCACTAAAATAAATATTAACATATTTATTAAGCAGCTTTAATTGGACGAATGAAAGAATTATTTTGTCGCTGCCGGCAAACAGTTTGACCTAATTACTTGAAGAATGATGTTTGAAATTGGCTTCACAAGAATAAAAAGGAGGAGCAATATATATGAATTTTTTTAAATACTTCGCTATTATTGACTTTAAAACGCAATCCTTTCCAGCTGTTCAGAGCAGGTGTGCAACTTGTAGGAACAACTAACAATAATATTTTTATTGAAAGAGACAGAAACAAAAAAACAGGAAAATTAGTAAGACATTTATTTTTCCGGTTATTAATAAACAACAACGACTAGGTGCCATTTTGCGCTACTGTGTACAGGCAATTGTTACTTGTTTTGCACTATGTTCTGTGCCAAGTATCTAGTCTATCCTGCCTGCGTCTTCTTTTGTGCAGTTTGTGTTGGCCCAACTTACGTAAAGCGGGGATGCACTCGCCGTGTCAGACGGATCAACAATTTGTCGCGATGTAAAATCGATAGTGCTATAAGTATCTTTCAGTGTGGCTTGGTCTTAAAAGAGAGATAAGAATTACCGGGCAAGCGAAGAAGGGGCAGTGGATTCTACTTCTTTGGCAATGTTTTTTGTGATGTCTTTGGGTTCACCACGTTCAAGCGAGAAAAATGTGCACAACGTGGTAACAATATCGCCTCCCACGCAGGCGTTTTTACTTCAAAGCTAGGGTTTGCTACTGTCATCACTGAACTATTCAATAGGTTTCAAATATTACACTAGCAATAGTTCTCACTACATCTGCCCCCGCCTTAGATGTGACGTTTATTTTGAAATAAGTCTTCTAAAGCCCGGTTTCCATATGATCGCTACGATCGCTGCGATCGCTGAGAAAAAAAAAGATTCAGCGATCGAAGCGATCATATGGAAACCACTCTTCAACGATCGCAGCGACAACTATCGCTGAGAAAGAAAAAGTTCTATCTCAGCGATCGTTATTGCTGCGATCGTTGGAGAGTGGTTTCCAAATGATCGCTATGATCGCTGTGATCGCTGTACCTTTTTTTTCTCAGGGATCGTAGGGATCATATGGAAACCGGACTTAACGTTCAATACGTAATATCTTTATTTCTAAGCTCTTAGGTTAGGTCATTTTAAAACTTCACGAAAAACGTTATAGTGATTAGGGTTAAGCACTGAAAATGGTGATTAGGGAGAAGCACTGACAATAGTGATTAGGGCTAAGCTCTGAATCGAAATGGTTAGCTTTCATTTACTGTTAGGTTTGACACTATAAATATGTAAAACAAAAACATAACTTGCCCTCGAAACCATTGTGGTGTAGTGGTATAAGCGATGGGTTTCGGTTTTTAGGACCGCGGATCTGAATCCCGCTTATGCCACATTCAATTCAAGGGACTTGAAATTAAAAGATTAGAAGAGCAGAATTTAGAAGAGACTTTAAAATTTCATGTAAGTGTAAGAGAGGAAGATGGTTCTGGAGGATGGAATTTAATGCTGACCGGTCAACGCCGTGTTTCCAGAATTTCCCGATACCACCTTGCCCGCGTGCTGAAACAAGAATTTCCGAAGACCGCCTTCCGCGCAAGCTGAAAAATTAACCAGGACCACCTTGCGCGCCTAGTTTCTTCAAGTCGAAAAGATTTCGCATATTACCAATACAACAACAACAACAAAAATAACGATACTTCTCTACGCGGGGGAATAGGCAAGTTTCTTATTCCAGGGAGGCCTAGAAGGGGTGCTTGTTTTTGTGTGAAAGCGAGGCTAATGTGGGTCACCTCTCACAAAGAAGACAAACAAACATCAGAAAACTGCGGCTGATTTGCCGAAAAAAAAAAAATGGAAAATTTTAAACGTTGAAAGGTTCCGAAGGGGTCAAACTTTGCTTACAGACTTGAGTAGTCATTGTTTCAAACAGCAAAAGGAAAAATAATAAGCTCCGGTCGTCATTAGGAAAAACGAGCCTGACCAGAAATTGACCAAAGTAGTGGTTGGTGAGCGAATTCAACAAAAATGCGAAGATTGTCTCAAAATCTTTGAATGGCATGGATTGATGTTAAGAAAGCGTATGATTCAGTGGATCACGGCCTTTTAAATGGGATAATGTTGTTGCACAGGTTTCCGGTCTGGTTGTGTAGGGTTATTGCCAAACTTTGTAGGAGTTGGAACACGTGGGTGATGGTTGTCACAAGGAAAGGGAGGGAAAGCTCCGAACCGATAAGATTCAATAAAGGGTTGCCCAAAGGAGATGCGCTATACCCGAGACTGTTTACTGTGTGCTTACAACCAATAGTCTGGAAGATCAGTGCTACCAAGGGATACAAACTGTCAAAACCCATCAGTTTTAAGGTTACTGACCTATCCTGGCCGTGCCATCCAATATCATCCCCGAGTTATCACTCACATGCACTCCCCTTCTCACATGAGCCACTGCAGACTTCCTGGGGTTCCACTGTAGCTCCACATCTTCCATAGTCGTTTCCACCATGTTCATGACCCGATTAAGTTTACTCTCAGGTGCAGCGAAAATCTTGAGGTTATCAATATATAGTAGATATACGGGAGATCGATAAGAAAGCTCAGAAGAGTTTTATTGAGAACGGGGGAAGGTACCCCTGTGGCTCCAATGCGATATTTACCTACCACGAGAGAAAGGAAGCAGAGGATTACGGTCCGTAAAGATGGAATATAAAGCCACGAAGATTAAGGGTGCGGTTAGACTTCATTGTAATGAAGACCCGGCCATACAAACGTGCGGGACTTTGAAGAGCAGGGTGAGCAAATGGGACAGAGGTCTACGGTTAAAGATGCCTTTAGGTTCGCGGGGGAGCTTGGTATCGAACTTAATATCGAGCATTTCCGTACGGTCAAGACGGAACTGCGAAATTGTCAAGTAGAGAGGCTAGAAGAAGAAGTTAGAAATCAGCGATGGCAAGGAAGTCTCGTTACAGCTACGCTACAGGACGAGAAAGTGAGCGGTAGTGCATGTGCATGTTCTGCAACACACACAATCACCGGAATGTTTCAGCTGTAGGAACAACTATTAGCAACTCGATTAAATGCAAGTCAGTGTTCGCACCACGAGACGTTGTGCAGAATGTGTGGTAAGGCCACTGGCTCACATCTTATCTGGGAGCGGTGCGCTGGCACAGAGCAAGTACCTTTCCCGACATGACTCTGCTTTAAGGTACTTTTCTACGAGATGCTGTATGACCTGGGACTCATAGATGAAGTTCCACCCTGGTACTCTCCGGCCCAGCAAAGGCCTGTTTATGAGTCGGATGAAGTATAAGCTTAATCGCCAGATTTTGCAGATCATGAAGAGGTGAGATGCAACAGAGTTGAAGACCGAATCGTCAACGAGTTGACTGTTTCATAGCTCAGAAAGATTCAGCAAAATTTATCAACCTGCCGTTCACGTTCCCAAGAGAACTTAAAATTTGGTCTTTCACGTCGTGCTTGCGCAGTGACGGTGAAAAACAATAAAAGAAAACTTCAACTGGCGAACGAGACGGTCACATGCAAATGCAGCGATCGAATTCATCCTAAATGTTGATCAATGCCGTTCTTACAACACGACAGTGGAACATGCGACTTAACTACGTAATGACGGTGTTAGTTTGCGACTCAGACAGGTGGCCTGTATTCTGGAGAGAACCACTACAGGGGCGTAGCTAGGATTTTTCACGGGGGGCAGGGTAACACTGTGTCACACCCAAAGTACTTATCAGATTGGCAAGTCCACATCCACGCCGTGTGTTACCAAAAGTGACTTTTCTTTTCGGATTAGCAGCGAGCGTGGGGGAGGGACAAGCCTACAACATAACTGCAACAACATAGATGAATTAAGTTCCACGCGTAAAAAAATTACTCTCTTTTAACGTGCTAAATGACCTTTCACACTCCGGCAAAGTAACATGTAATGTACAAAGAATCCACAAGGGTGGGCGGGGGTGGTGGGGGGTTCACGGGCAAGCCAGGCTCCCCGCCCCCCAGCTACGTCCGTGCTCTGAAGGGTCATACACCGTTTTCGTTACTCAGGTTTTCACTGGTAAGATATTCAGTCATAGACACTATGCAGATATACAGCGTCAGTAGAGCGCGGTTGACGACATCTTGGGAGATATGCAAGTGACCAAGAAAAATGTCCGTGTTGTCCGGTGTCCGTATGTTGGGAGAAACGGAATTGTCCGTAATACGGGTGTCTGTAGAGAGGGATTCTACTGTTTACGGACCATCCGTCTGGACAGTAAAATTTACTGTCCGGACGGTGGTCATTTGTAGTCAGACGGCTGTTGTTGAGAGTTGGCCGGTTACTTCTGTAGAGGTTTCACTATACTTCAAAATAGAGCTAACTTATCGGTTTCTCGATATATTTCGTATACATTTGCAACTGTGGCAAATGCATGGTTACACAGTTTGGGCAGGCCCCTGTAAGAATCGTCCGCCAAAAAGAGGCTTGAGCCATTTGTTATCCTGACTCCAGACGTCCGTTCTCAGGGTAACCATTTGTAAGCTTTCCTATGTATTCCATCGTGAAATAATTTTGAAATTAATATTTATCATGTAAGGTCGATTCTGTCAAACACCTGCTTGAGATCCAGAAAAACAACACCAGTTGAACGCTTTTATGGTCCATACTATTGGCCCAGCTGTCTAGTGTCCATCAGCTCCAGTTAAGACTGTAGTGTTTGCAAGTAGTACAGAGGGAAAACCTGATTTATTCTTTCATATCTGGTTGTTTCCGAACAAAATGAGCTTCAAAGTGGAAGTGCGCTATTCTTTCAAAGCCTTAACCTCAACGCAAATTACTAATATTGAGCGACAGTTAATAATATAGCTCTTTTCGCCATGTAACAATAACAAAGTCAAGAAACCGGTCTGCAAGTGGTAGGAGGTAAAGCAAAAATAACGTAACAGGAAACGACAATTATATCACACACTTAACGAGCAAAAACTTAAGGGTAACAGCACATACAATATTACCCTTCCCACGCTAATAACACAAAAGCAACTCAAAGTTTGCATTAGAATACACATAACCAAATATATAATTTTTCAAATGTCTCACGGCACTAACAAGATTGCCTCTTCTTTCGTATTCCAAAAAGACCGCTTAAAAGCATACATAAAAAGGCACCGTACAATCCATTTGCCTTGAACAGGGATATAGGGCCAATAGTAACCGTTTAATGTTTTCATGGAAACCATTTTGAAAATACTGGTTCGCTCTCAGCAACGTGATGTTTATTCACGAATCTGACCATTTCTGTTCTAAATCGAACCATTTCTGAAGTATCATTTTAACCTAAGACGCATTATTTCTGTGTTGCATACCAAAATAAATACAGAAATAAAACCGTGAGCGGTTCACATTTTTTTGATATATACTTTTTTACAAACCAGTTACTGGATCAATAAAATATTGACTAAAATCCTGTATTTAGGCAGCTTAATTGGGCGATTTCCAAATCAGGATGAACTTCGTGTCGTACAGTTTTAAACTCAAGTCATACTTGTGATTTTCATAAGAACAGACTTAGTTCCAATATCATTATCAATGCAAATTTGCAATCTACATGTTTCTTCTGTTTTCGTTTGTTTACTTGTTTTTTCTTAACACTTAAGGACACCAGTTTACGTTGAGCAGGACGTTTTCTCTTTTAGCAATTAAAATGCAGGGAATCTCTTACTGTGTTTAAGCGATAAAACTTTAAAAACAAAATCTCACTACTTTGCCGCTTCTTTTAAAACAACTACTCAGCAGTTAAATAAATCATAATTGCAAAACATGCTAGAAAATGATTTAGTCATTGGGCCGTAGTGAATTACTATATTTAATTTAAAAGTTCCCAGCTGATCTGGAAAATAGCAGACAAACCAAACTCCAAAAGCAAGAAATGTTTCAAGCGATCTGCGATCATCTGCAGTTCGAATACAGTTTAATACCGCCATTTTAAAGTTTACGATATTTATAAGGGCAAGATAACGAATATTGCCCACAAAGAAATGGTAAAAACTAAAAAATATATTTATTAAAATCTATTTAAATGCATAATTTGAGGCAAAAACAGATAAATACGGAAAACTGGGTTGCTTTAATTCAGATTTGTAATATATTTGTAATATGTATCTCTTTTATCACGCACACACACCTCATAGCTTGCTACGGCGCGATGATTCTCTGCAATACAGTTAATAAATAAGAACACTTCTTTGCCAGTGTAAAAGTTATATCAAAGACAATGACTGAAATCATTCGCTACGATCCGGTCTCGTTTATGTATCGACACGGTAAGTTACTTTTTTATTGTGTTTCTCATAATGATACGAATTTCTCGATATCGCGAATAGTAAACGAAAGGATTTAAAGAAGAATTAAGGAACACAAAAAATATCGAGATATAATTGGCTACTAGCATGGAAATTCGTTCCCCATAAGTTAACAATAATATTGCAACGACGAAAATTGGAAGATAACAAACTAGGAAAACTGCATAAACAACCAAAGCATTTATGGCGGACTTTTTCTGTCGAAGGAGATCAACCACTTGGACGCTTTGCAGCTGAAGTTGACTTTGTATTTGATTGTTATGGTATTTCACAGCATTAAAGATACGGACATATGCCACAGTTGTCAATAGAAGCAAAATAAACTGAACAGTTGCGATGACCATGTTGCCTACGGTGAGTAAAATGGATATAGAGGCAGCAAAACCACTTGTTAACCATACCATAATCAACGCCATATTGACACGTTTTGATGTGACGAGTTCGCGATATCGCAGATGTAACAAAATAGCGAGAGGTCTGTCAACTGCAATAGCTCCAATGGTCAGAAAAGATGCGCTGCAGAGAAGAAAAATGAAAAAATAGCAGGCAGTAACGATTACTGGGCAAAACGAGGCCAAGTTTCTGTCACCATTCGACGTCTGAGATAACATCACTGCGATGTTTACACCCAGCATAAGCTGTGGCAACATTCCTACCGCAAGATCCGAGAAAGCGAGACTCAAGAACAGCTTCTTTATATTGGACGGAATAGATGATACTTTCCACAAGGCGTGAATAACAAGAACATTTCCAAGAACTGCCACCACAGAAAATAGCAACAATAAAATACAATAAGCCAGCATAAAAGTTCTGTGAAACTGAATCAGTGACGACAAGTGACCTAAAGTGTCAGTGCAGAGCTCTGACGCCATTTTGAATTTCACTTCCAAACTACACACTCTCAAGACTGAGATGGAATGACATTGCCAAGTTTAATTGCCTTCTATAAATAGAGCTGTTTCTTTGTACATGACATCACATGACAGAAACTGAATAACTGCTACAATCAATATAAAGTTGTAAGTACATAACGGTGGACGAAACAAAACGTTTGTCATTACAAAACCAGTGAGGAGCATAAAAAGAGGCATTTTTATTGAGAAAAAAAACACTGTCCGTGTCTGATTTTATATTTTATGAACAGACTTTAATTTTGTTTCAGTTTAACAGTGACGTAACTTACTCGCCTTTGCGCTCGGTTAAATAGAAAAGCATCTTCATTTTAACAGAATATAAACGACGGGTTGCTGGTTAAGATTTATATTTATTGAAAATCAATATTTGTATAGGACACATCTTCTTTAGCAAAGTTAGTTTTATATGGAACCCTGACGGTTAGTTGTTTCTACAAGGCAAGGGAGAGTCGATTGAGCTAAAGCCAGTTTAATAAGAGGAACACTGAAGACAATAAAAACGGCTTGTTGTTTTTTGTTCAGTTCAAAGACAATTCTGATTCAAATATTTAGAAAAGATTTCTAATCCAGTGTTAAGGTTGATGAAATAAACTTTTGACATCTTATTATTAAACACTTTCTCTGGGCTATTCCCCGCACAATTCTTATGACACTAACAGGAATAAATTGAAGACACCAATACTTAAAAATAATTTATTTTATGCCGCTAACCACCTGAATGTTGGAGTGAGCAAATCACCCCTACGCGTCACACTTTGGTTACCTCCGCTCTTCTAAATTAACGTCAATATTGTCGGGTCATATGGCGACTTCAGGCAATGAAAACGCCGGGTGACGTCCCTTACATCAAAAACCACAACCGGAAGTTGATCTTTCTTCTTTTTCAATGGTCTGAGTCGATAACGTCATAATGTTTCCCGCACAATTCTCATGACACGAACAGGCACAAATTGAAGACACCAATCCCTGAAAATACTTTCTTTTATGCCGCTGAATGTTGGAGTGAGTAAATTATGGAGGCGGAGTATGGTCAATTTTTGGGATTGGAGCGGTACGTGATAACTTGACTGCCAGTTTAATTAAAACAGTTTATTTAAATAGGTAAAGTGCTCGAGCGGAACGTATTCAGCTTTAACTTATTAAGCGACTTGATACGAGAAGAGGAAGATAAAATATCACAGAAAACAAAGCGAGCTCCAGGTGCAAAAATAACTTTTAAGCAGTAAAATTTCTTTCACAACTCTGACGAACCCGCATTCCTTACCTTGGCGGGTTGACATTAGTTTATCTTCGCTTGATCGCTTCAACTGTCCACCCACTGCCTCACGCGAACGCTTACCACTAAAGCCATTCCCGCTTACGACGAATCTCATAATTCAAAGCTCTTTAAGAACAAGTCAACGACTTGGTGTCTCGCTTGGAGAACAAAAACAGAACTATGGAGTCTGTCAGTGAGACAAAGGTTATGAGCCTGTTGTCTGTTAAAATGCTGAAAAAAAAAATGTTACCTTGACACAATTCTCTCGAAGCAAAAATAAACGGAGAGATACCGTACCTTAAGAAGAAGCTTCTGCCGTACTTCTTCCAGAAGTCCTTCATTATGTCCTGAACAGACATCTTTCTACTCACTATGATGGAAAGCCAAGCTGAAAATAATGCATGTCGCATTAAAATTGAAAATTTAAAAGGCTTACACTATAAGTGGTTCATAAGGAAATAAATCAGCGTCTTCAAGGAAAAAAAAAAAAGTACGCAACAGCATTTCTTCTAAAAGCCTCAAATATACATTTACCACAGAACCACTCCATAATTTTCTTTTTTTCTATTTCTAGGTCACAGAATGATATTTCCAGGACAGTAAAGATATATCTTGTTTGTTAAACAGAAAGCGCAATGAAGAAAAGAGAAAACAAAGAGCACCTATGGGGAAGAAACCTTGAGTTTTCAAAATTCGTTTTGTTACAACTAAACATGAGTCCTGACTTTGACCTAATAGCAGGGGGCAAGAATAGTATTCGAACCTTTCAGCACGTTCACCTTTTACAATTATATATATAAAAAATAAATAATAATAATAATAATAAATAATAAATAAGACAAATAAATAACAAATAGAAAATGTCAAACAACTGGTGAAAATTGAGGTGATAGAAGAGATCAGCTGGCAGTGATGGTTACGGGATTCAAAACCGAAGCGTCTGGCAGAGCATCTCAAGGAAACGTGCAGTGCGTGGCTTTACATACTACGTAAGGCCTATACTGTTGGAAGAATCCTTATACACATGTACAGTTTGTTTTACTCGGAATTGAAGAATGAAATCGTTGATTGAAAAACTTCGATAATTCCGTAGCAAACCCGGCTGAAGTTTCATTTAGTAACTGATCAACACACCTACGCGTCACACTGGTTAACTCCACTATTCTAACTTAACGTCAATATTGTCGAGTCATATGCCGAGTTTAAGCAACAAAAACGTTGACGTCCCTTACATCAAAAATCACAACCGGAAGTTGATCTTTTTTCTTTTTCAATGGTCTGAGTCGATAGAGTCATATTGCAATCGGACAAACAAAAGCTCTCAAACTTGTTTCGTCATACGAAAGCATTCCATCAAGAGAAAACACACACTTCCGGTTACCATTTATGACGACAGCATCCTCGTTGCTTAAGATCGTCAAAGACGTAAAGTCATTAACTGGAAAACAAATATGCATATTGTTTGATAAAGAGTCATTAAGGTAATTTGAAAAGGAGTTAACATCATCCAAAATTAATGGGTGCAAAAAATAAGGTGAACGCATGACGCTGGGCATTACTGAATGAGGTGTGTAACTAAACAAAACCCGCCTATAAAAGTGTTGCATGAAAAATTTAGATCGAAAAGGATCATCGGCTAAATTCAGTATTTTCCTCTTCTAATAAAGCAATTGAAGAACCTTACCTTTGCTTATAAAAATGTCACGCAAGCAAAGAAAGTTGCGAGTATAACATTCTTGAATTAGTGCCCATAGCGTTACAACTTAGTCCATTGCACCCGAATTCATTCAGATCTAATCCAACGGTCGTCTAGCAACATACAACATCATACAACAAGGTGTTTTTCTATGAAGATTTTTGTACAAGTACACAGTGTAAGATATAAATTTCAGATCAAGAACTGTACAGAAAAGATTGAGTTGGGATACCTTAACTTGCTTGTAACGAACACGATTCCAGTGGGTATAATCAGGATGTAGAAACTTGCCCTGTTCATTAGCGCCAGTCTATCAATCAATTTTATGCACGTTGTATCCAAATCCTAGCGAAATTACTGACCTATAACGCACTATTTTCATGGCTCATGACTTCTCTCCAAAGTCCATGGAGAACAGACATTTCTTGAACTGAACGAATACATGTAAATAGATGTTGTGGTTTAATTATTTTTGTCCATGGTTTCAATTTTACTTTTTTCTGGGTATGTTGATGGATGATCATGAGTTTGAAATAAGTGAAAATACAGTTTAAAGCACGGAAAAAATTCAACCACACTATAGACAAGATAAACGTTACTCTTACCAAGGAATGCCCAGACACCATCCTTTTCTCGGATGTGGTCTGATCCGGTTCCAAAACTTTCCTCGCCACAAAGAGAAATGCGTTCAGCATCCATCAAATTCCCAAAGAATTTCCAACCTATAATGTGCAAATCAAATATTAAAGGCTTAGGCTGCATAATTACAAGTGAAAGCAAAAATAACACCCCTGTCGCACGGCAAAGCCATGGTGGGTACCCCATACCTTTTATTAAAGTTAAGACAAGGCCAAAATTGGCTGAAATAAAGTAACATTTGTTCAATATGTGTGACTTTTGATGAGGCATCAACGTTCACCGATGGGAAGTTGCATGCTTACTACGGCTCTCCAAAAAAGAAATAAGGCAAAAATGGAAATGAAATACCTGAAATTTCAAGTTTTTTTTAAAAAAAGACTTAATAAAAAATTCAAGAGCTTTCCAAAGGCTTTAAGTAACATTCAAGGCCCTTTTAAGACGGTACGAATGGCAAAGAGAACGGGCCGACAGTGACGGCGGCGCATGCCCATTTAAAAATCCTACTGGCCCAATGGCTGAACGGCAAATTTAGCACTGGAAGTCGAGTTAAGTCCTTTTGTGCCAGCTTTGGTGTTTTCATTCGACGTTGCTAGCTAACAGTACAGCACTAGTCTTCATTTAAGATCCAGTTCGAGTAAATAATCCATTTCTTACCGGTGGGGACTTCAAAACACTCAATTCTCATTTTCTGTCCTACTCTGTCAATAGCTGCACTAGTAGGCATGCTACGGGCGACACCTTTCAATCCAGTCTTAGCAAAGTATGGAATGCACATTGCGTTATCTGCGATGACAGCAACAGAATCTGATGGAGTTACAAAGAAAGCATTTTGCCCAAGAATCATGTTACGATCCTGCAACAGAATTAGACACAAATATTTAAAGTTTATTCGACACGATTTATTTGTCGTTTTTTATTCTTAAAAAATGTGAAAAATGTGCATCTGAAATTAAAGGTAGCCAAAAAATCTTGCGGAGACTATTTTCTTCCCCTTCAAAAGACGCAAGTTTGCCTCCAGAAATGTCTGGATTATCGCGCAGCCAAATTGACAAGTATGACTTAGAATGATTTGATGGCAGTAAGAAGGAAACTCCCGAACTATCTTCAGAATCATCATTCACTTCGCTATATATTCGTTACAATCAGCTTGATCGCTTCATTCCATAAAACACAAAGCAATGACCAGAATCGGAAGCAAAGTCTGAGCAAATTGACGTCCCATGATGTCATCAGCTTTTCTTTGATCCCTAACTCATTCCAGGTCTCTGGTACATTAAAGTTCAGGGCCCGTTCTTGAAAGGGCGATTAGCGCTAATCCAGGATAAAAAGTGTGTTTATGTAGTATTTAACTTTCCTATGTATTGCTTAGAGTAACATTGTGTATTATCTTTACTGTATTTTGGAATAATGGCTCAACAGTATTTTGTACGCTCGAGTTGCATGTTCTTAGACAAGGAAACCTTGCTTAAAATTTGGCTTAATCCTGAGTTACACTCAACCATCTTTCGAGGAGCCGGGCCTTCCAAATTTTAAATGAAATTCATCTAAGGACCGTAATCAGGAAAAAAAGTCGCGTCATATAAATAATACACTTTAAGAAACTGTAGTTGTCTCTGTTGGGATACCGAGATTAAAGCCTCAAATGAAAAAGATAGACATGTCTTACCCCATCTCCATCAAAGGCAGCCCCAATCTGATGGACACCTTCTTTAAGCAATTCGAGAAGATCAGCAGCATAAGTCTGATTGGGATCTGGATGGTCACCTTTAAGAGAAAAGTGACCATAATACATGCATTTGATACCCATCAATAAACATTCTTTTACGAAGAGGTTACCCCTTTTATTGCCAAGTGTGGTCAAGGGCAGAGTTCGAAATAAATTCCCAAATTTCGTTTTGTAAAACTTTGAAAATAAATAGCACCATTTGAAAGTACAGGTAGAAAGGTTTCATCTGAATGGTCAAATCGTAGGATTTTGTCCGTCCACAGACTCAAAAGTTACAACTACATACTCAATAAATAGTACCTTGTGAAAGTACTGCTGAACAGGTTTCATTTGAGTGGTCACATCATAGGATTTTGTCCACAGACTCAAAAGTTAGAATTACCTTAAGGGACTTCAACTTTCACTCTGGTAGTGAAAAGGTTAAGGCTATTTCTACACTATACCGAATAACGTTTGTGTCGACACGAAACGCTATCTCGTAAAGTATAATCAGAAACAGCCTGGCACTGGAACAAGTCGCTCACACACATTGCCTTATTGCTGCAGGATTTAGTGCCTGTCTCCTGGACTTTTACCTCCATCTCAGTGAGTGGGTTCCAGTCCACGTTCCTACTCACCTCCTTCTCCGTCCGAACACCTGTTCACACTTTACCGTAGTGTGACGCAGAACCTATTCGATGTGCGACGCTCTACTTTCGAGAATGGCGCGGTCCAGATTTACTTCATTACAGAAATCGCGCATTTGCATAATGTAAACAAAAAAGTACCAGATCTGGTATGGTTTTCGAGCCAAAGCAAGAACTATCCGATGACTCAGGCATATACACGTTTAAGGTACAATCCATTCCCGAGTATTTAATCCAGTAGTCAAATAAGGTTACCAGTGTTAGACAATTACCAAGGCAAAAAGCTAACCCTAATAGGTTGAATACTGGTTTAACCAAACAAAAAGATTTTAGCTACGAAATATAAATATGTATGTATAGTTGTAGTTCAATCTTATACCGTTAAGCTTAAACAGAAAAAAAACGTTTTTAATTAAAGGGTTGCGAGCTAAAACCAAAAACGCATATTTTGCTGGAAACGTTAAGTTGCTTAAAAATCACCCAATTTTCAAACGTAATCCCCAATACGACCGATTCAGCAGGTTTCATCCATTACCTGCGCGTCCCGCGTCTCAGACGTATACATTTCTTACAGTATGCACAAATCATACGCCTTATGCGTCTCTTGGATGCATACACGTTTTTTTGCCAATCATAAGCAGCATTCCACCGTCTATAAAACCTGTCACACGAGCTTACTGGAGAGTTCGAAGAATAATAAACTTACCTAGATTTCATTCTACACCAGCAAGGGAACAGGACTCTTAAATATGGGTCTGGGCCTCTTAGTCTCATCCTTAAACTCATCTCTTCATCATTTTACTAGGTTAAACGTTTAAGGTAATGTTTGTGTCAGGACTGAACACGGCAAGCTTCTGTTTCGAATCATTAAATTCGAGTCTGGATCCGTTTTAGAAGACCATCATTTTATTTATGTATTCTTCACTTTTAAAATATTATGGAACATGAAGTTAAAACTCTTAACAGCCAAAGATAAGAAATAAGAAAATTACTCGCTGAAATAATATGTGGCCGGCTTACCCGGAGCCTGCCGAGTAACAAGTTGAAATTTTGAGCGTACTCCACTCGCTCGCTCCTGCATTTATACTGAAAAAATAGTTCTAATTGATTTCCTTCATCGATAAAGACCACAAAATAACGTCTTGGCAAACAAAAACCAAACATAACTTCATTGAAACCTCAGTCACCGCTTCTTTCCTGTCTTCCTTTTTTCCATCTCGACTTGAACTGTTATGTTAAATGGCACACGTCTCTTGCGTTAACAAGTAGGCTATATATCCGTCGCTTATTTCTTTTTTTCTTGCCACCAAGATTTGCATTGTTTATATTTCTGTTTTACCGAATTGGTTGTTTAAACGAAGTCTAACCTTTTTAGAGTTAAAATGGGACTCTTTAGACCGCGGTTTAAAGCGATTAACAATATATATATATAAAGTCGATAAAAACGGTCAAGCTCATCTTTGAAATAACTTTTTAAGCACCACCAGATCTCTTCATCATTTGTATCAGCGGGTTATTTTAAAGAAGACAAATTATTTTAAGAAGACAAATGCTTTTTCTAGTCTACGCCATATGCTTTCATCGAAATGTTCACAATGGTGTTTACATAAGAGCGTTCGGCAAACAGAGGAAAATGGCTTAGAGCGCGGTTTTGTTAAACACTGGCTTAACACCGTTTACATAACTGGCCCAATTATGGTTTTGCAGCCGTGCTTCTTTCTTGATATATTGCTGGTTATGCGTACAAAAAGCATTAAAAAACTGACAATAATGACACATTACAAAGCAAGCTATTTTCATACCTCCAAAGTCTTCTTTTGGTTCACATTTTAAAGTGGCACTGTCCGGTGCTCCTAACTCCTGACATAAGATTCTTTTCAGGTATGGACCAGTCACTGCAATAATTATAACAAAGGTAGCCTATAAAAATCCATGGGCCATTCTTATCCCTTGGTAACTGATTCGTTTTTCCTTAGGCTGACGCTCACAAGGCATCAGACGAATTTTTGGCCCGCAAGCATCGCATACTCTCTTTCATCTGATTCCTGTCTAGCGAAGCTAGAGAAACAGGCAGAACGCACGAGCGAGCAGCAAAGCCGCGAGGGGATATCCTTGCCTCTCGCTCTCGTCTCTCCTTCCGCGTGACGGTCATGCGTGACTTCTCGCGAATGCCCCAAATGGAGAGCTTGATCGCAGGTTAACCAACATTTTGGCCGGCTGAAAAATTTGACCGGACACTTCGTTCAATTGGAACCGTCCAATGTTTTAAATTTGCTAAGTTCACGGAACTGACGAACAAGATTAAATTTTAACTTTAGTCAGTGGTTTTCCATCTACCCATGCGCCTAGCGCCACTTTGGCAAATCCAAAATGGCGTCTTCCAGTTGAGTAACCACACATCTATGCGATCACGCCTTTGCCGTTCAAAAGTGTGGACGGTCATGGTTTTAACACTGCACCAGTCAAATTGTTGACCGTAGCGGCTAAAAGTTTGACCTCGATTTTGACGTTAAATTTTTGAACGGTTAGTCGTCTATATTTTCGTACGGTTGGGAGGGTTGCGTGTGAACAAGACACCTACATGTAAACGCACGAATTTTCGACAAACCGAAAAAATTCGTGTGGGCCGTGTGAACCAAGCCTTATAGGTATGTCATGTAACGTGTTTGCCTCCCTACAATAATACACTTCTGTAAGTTTCCAAGGATCCATAGTTACTAATACTGTCTTTAAACAAACTGAAATGTTACAGTTAGCGGAGAAAAAAACGTTGTCTCTCGTTCACAATTGGAGAGCTTTAGATTTGAGGACGAGAACGAGTACGAGTACGAGATTTAACTTGGCTTTGCGCATGTTCTAGAAAAAAAGACACCCCAGAAAGCTTCAATTTAATTTTTTTTTTCACCAAAAAAGTTAGTACAGTAATATATACTGAACGAGGTTAAGCCCTCTCCCGGTAGCAAAATGATAAAACTTCTTACATTTGTTAACTTGTTCCCGCCACTACGACATTCTCGCCTAAACTCGTAGTAGAATGACGACGTCTATCGCGTTTTCCCGCCAAAATGTCGTTGATTCACGCAAGAGCACAACTTAATACTCAGAAAATCTCGTACTCATAGTCGTCCTTGTCTCAGAATCTAAAGCTCTCTATTAAATAAATACAACCCCACCTCCATTCATAGCATTCGCAACAAACTTAAAAGGTTGTTGGTCACTATCTCCAGAAATCAACTTCTTTAACAAATCGAAGTCAAATATTTCCTTCATCAATTGAGTGTAATCTTCGACTGAATCTCGCACAGTTACAGTGAACGTATGACCTTCTACCTCCCAGCTGTTACTTCCAATAGTATCAAGATCAACCGTGATTTCCTTGCACAATTTGTATGATGTTATTTTTCCAGTTCGTGCAAAAATCTCATTAGTAACAGCTTCAGGCGCTGGACCTATCAAACAAGCAAAATAATCAATAATTAATTCCTTAAACGGAGAAAACAGCCGATATTTCGCGATGCATCTGGTTTGGTTTCCATTCGCGAAATAAGAGCAGCGACTGCACAAATTCCGTACTGCTGACGTGAAACTACCCAGATCTAATTAGTGCTTTTGATTGCACGCACAGTGTAGGTAATTTTCTTCAACTAAACAAAAGCACTACCCAGTACCCAGATCTGGGTATTGATACGTCATCAGCATAGAATTTCTGCAGATCCTCAGATTTCATTTCGCGAGAAAACCAGTGATGGCGTCACGAATTGTTGGCTTTTTACAAAGGTTTTTATTCTTCAAGTAACCTTGTTTTAGAAAACATTTGGCATGAAAAGTTTTTACTTGATCTGTTATCACAGAGTCATAGCATTAAAAAATTACAGTATACAAGAGTACACAAAGTACGGTACACCGACTGTACCTCCATTTTCTGTGTTGTACTTGATCCCAAAGTCCCCTTCTGGCCCCCCTGGGTTGTGACTTGCAGTCAACAGGATACCACCTGCACAAACAAAATATTTCATAGGGGATCAGTACTTAACAAAATTGTCAATTCACACCTGGAGCCTCCACTCCCAGGCGCCCCAGGTTGAGAGAAGCCATGGGAAGAGGCAAGCTCAGAGGCAGAAAGGAGCAGGAGCTCAGGTGCAAAAGTACATAATTATGTAAGCAATCGCTGCAGGAAGGAGGGCGAGGCAGCAACCAGATGCCTGGTGTCTGTATGAGTGAAAAAAGGAATAAACAGGACTATACTATCTTTACTAAAACGATTTACATAATGCGCAACTGGTTCCCCTGTGGAACCACAGATGTGCTGGAATTTAAACATTTGGTTGTACACAGGTTTCACAAAGAGTGGAGGGTATTTGTGCATGACAGCCCCCAGTGCTAATAGTTTAAGTTTCAGGCCTTGAGCAAATGTGTGGAAGGGGTGAGGATAGCCAGAACTTGTGATATTTGAGGCCTAGTTTTGAATATGTTTTTTTTTTCTAATTTACTAAGAGATTTACAACAGCTTTACCTTAGGCCCATCCACTACCTTCATCACTGCCAGAGCATAGTTGTCGCTAACTTAGAGATCCTCATTGCTGAGTATATGCTATAATTGCATATACTTATTAGTAAGCGAAATTGAAAAGCAAAGAAGAACTTTGGTTCTATTTTTCTTTTTGTTTTATTTCAAAAGCCAGGGGTCTGCTCAGATCAACAAGGGGAAGTAGCTGGCCACCAGCCTTTAGTGACAGCCCTAGTGATAATGTAGCAACAATTCATATTTTTGACTTTCACAATATACTATAATTTTGTAACTTGATATATTATTGTATTCAACAAAAATTAATGGAAACTGTGTGGATACTCAACCAACCTCTGGCCTTGATCTTTCGGATAATACAAGACACAGCTGGAGTAGAAAAGATACCATTATGTCCAATCACAAGTTCACCAACCTTTCACCAAAACAGAAACAAAACAATTCCATAAAACAACAACAATAACAAAAAATAATGCCCAAGTTACTCTGAAAAATCATCTGGTAGAATGACAACAAAGTATTGAACACTGTCCAATTATTGACCATCACTTGACTTCTTATGACTTTTCTTTTACCCAGCTGGCAAAGTTGTTGAAAACGACAGTTGCTCTGATTTATTTATTAATCTAATTATTTTTAAACTAGGATAGGAAGAAATGCTGCACATAATTACATGTATGTCTACTTACCATAAAATTCCGAAAATAAGCCCCGGGGCTTATTTTTGGAGGGGCTTATATATTTGGACGGGCTTATCTAGGGAGGGAAATTCGTGTTTCAAGATCAATTGGGCTAGCCTTATAGTTGGAAGTAAATTTACCGTTTTTGTTTTGTTTTTCTTTGTATTTGAAGGCAATTTTCCAAGCACAAGCCCCCAGCAGCTTGTATTTAGAGGGGCAATTTAACGGAGGGTTTTTTTGCTTTACAGGTTCGGGGGGCTTATAATTATTTGGAGGGGCATATACCTGGAGGGGCCTATTTTTGGAATTTTACGGTATGTCCTGAAAAGGTGAAGAGAAAGGGCTTATTGATTTGTGTTATGTTATGACAATACCATACTACAGGGTGAAGAGAGCGCTTCAAATACAGTTGAAGTATCTCCCTACTTGGTATTAATATAAACAAAACTCTCTTAAGCAGAAACCCTCAGTAAGCAGGAAAAGCATCTGCAACTGAAGCTGGCTGCTTACAAGGTTGACTTTTGTAAGAGACAAGTAAGAGGAAGCTCAAAATGGGATTCTTTCAAGGATGGTCAAAAGTAGCCTTGACTGTGGCTTAGAGTTTAAGCAACACCGTCAACACCTATATTGTATGGAAAATTATTTTGATTATCATTGTCTTTTGGGAATGTATTTGTTAACTGGTCACTGACCACAGCTAGTCATAATCTCTGATTGGACTGTCCCCCCACAGCACACACGAACACACACCTCCTGATACCCAGTTGAGATTCTAGAAGACATATTTGCCCATTTCTCTTTGTTTATAAAATATGGTAATGAAGTCAACATTTTGCTTTAACAAGCCAAACTCAAGTGACTGTCTGACACAGGTGTCTGTGTCAATACCAGTAATTCTCAACTACATGACGATTGCCTTCATATCCAAGTTTCAACCCTCATCTCTATCCCTCCCCTTCCAAGAAAATTGATATATCCAATACCATAAGTGCATAAATTATAATATAAATTGCAGGTCTTGCCTGCTGGTGTTAAAATGTCAACTCCCGACTTACATACTACGGGTATCAATGGCATGATATGCACAGCCTGTGAAAACCATCAATCAACACTTTGCAATGCCATCACTGGTTTCCCCGCGATGTGACGTCTAAGAAACAAGCGCAGATATTCCATACTGATGATGTGTCACTATTCAGATCTGGGTAGCGCCTCAAAGCAAATTTCCCACACAGCATGACCAATCAGAAGTACTTGCCAAATCTGGGTAGTTACACGTATCACAATGGAATTTATGTGCTTGATTCTCACATGTCATTTTGCGGGGAAACCAGTGGCAGAGTCGTGAAATGTCCGCCTCCCCTCCCCCCTCCCCCTGCTGTTTTCTCTGACTAACATGTATATGCAGGGCTGTCATTATAGTTTTGAAGCAGCCATAGTAAATGAAGATCTACCCATAACATCTCACAAAAAATTGACACCGTCATCTTAAAATGTTCACGTTTATCACATGTAACATCATGTGAGCTCAGCCGTAACAGGTAGGGCCCTTAATGACATCTCTAATATGGGCTACGCTGTGCCCACTTTAACACCTGTTGCAATTGTCACTAAACTGACATTTTTTTTGGTTTGAAATCAAGGATATTATTATTAGTATTATAATTTGTTTGTTTATTTTTTAGTTACCTTTCATATCAGAGATGTAATTTAGATGTGTATGTAACTGTTATTTGTTAAGTCTGTGTACATGTATGGCAAATATCCAGTAACCAATGAATTATGCTTTTAAAACCACGTCCTTCATAATTATAAAGGGCCATCAACAAAACCCGGATCTGATCAGATTGGAATGGTATTTTCGTTTTTAGCGCAGAAGAATTATTTTGAGAAAAGCTGTTTTAATAATGATACAAGTGGCTCGAAATAAGAAATCTGAGTTCTCACAACAGGAGTCTAACCTATGACTAGTCAAGACATGTTTGGACTTGTAACCGGTTTGACTTTTTCTTCCAAGCTGCCTGTGTCACTTTAAAAAAAAAATCGTTTAGAACTCATATATCACCAGAAATTCACCATCAGCTTGAAAATCCTTGCAAAGAGTTATTTTCAACTGAACTGCACTGGGAAATTTTCTGTTGCATAACTTCATACGATTACAATTCCAAAGAGAGGCTTGGTCACCTGACAATCGAAGATGGCGGAGGGAGATGTAAGTATCTCTCAGAGGAGATGATTAAGAAAATAGTGGGAATGAGTAAGGTACGATAGCGATGATTTATTGTCAACAAGTGAATGACCTCTTCAAATGTCATTTACATTATTTTCATTAACAACAAGTCTTCTCACACCTATCTGCTTTAGCCGAGTCACTCGCAAATGTGTCTGGACTAGGCATAGGTTAGACTCCTGTTGTGAGAACTCAGATTTCTTATTCAGAGCCATCTGTGTCATTATTAAAAACAGCTTTTCTCAAAACAATTCTTCGGCACCAAAAGAGAAAATATCAGTCCAATTCGATCTGATCCAGAGTCCGATCCGATCTGCAGTCCAATCCGATCCAAGCCATCCGATACGGGTTTTGTTGACGGCCAATATTAAGCTTGTTATAATGTCAAATATCATATCACACACGCACTTTCAATAAATTAATGCTATGATTTGACATTTCCTTGTTTTTTTCGGCTTTTGGAGCAACTAAGAATACAGGGCCATATTCAAAGGCCTTCATTTTTCTCTTAAATTATTCCATATTAATTTGATTTTAAACAAGTGAAGGCTCATCCTCGGTGTAAAAACCTGCGAAAGTCACGAGTGACGTTAAAAAAAAATACAAAGAAGGCACTGAGAACTCAACACAATAGAGCCAAGGGAAATAATAGCTAGAAAACAAAGCAAAACTTCACAGGTTTTTAGACACAAGTTAAGGGGTCATGAAAGGAGAGCAACAGATAGCTGTACTGATATTAGAATGTTGAATACGTGGCCGTGGAATCACTCACGGATATATTGGTCTGTTGTTTATGAACTGCTTGAACTGGGTTTGAGCTTCGGTTATTTACTTTCAAAACAGCCTCACGGTGGCTAAATTTATCTCAACGCATCGATCGCCTCTTCAGAATGAAAAACATATCATACCCCGTTCGCCGCAGCCATTCTGCTGATGATCTGGATGGCGTCTCGCATGAAGAACCTTCCATCTCCGCCCACAACAAGAGTGCATCCTTTTCTCTTTTCCTCTGGAATCGAGTCCAAAATACACTGAACAAAATTCTCCGTGTAGTGTTTTTGTTGGAACACCGTGACGGCTTTCCTTAGACCCGAAGTGCCGGGTTTTTGGCCGTCAAACGGGGAAGTTTCTTGCACCGTGACTTCCACCACCATGTTCCTTCGCTGAAGCGACGATCAAATTGGCCGGCGGTGATTATAAGGCACACGGAGCAGTGTCACGAAAGTTACGCGTGACATATCAGTTAAGGTTTTTGTCCGCTGTAAATTGTTGGTTTTCACATGACGTCACTAAAATTCAAACTAAAAAACTATCGATCCTACCGACATTTTACGTTCACGATGCATTAGAGCAGCTGAAAGCTAATTTTCATACAAATTTTCGCTTCAAAAGGGCTCTTGGTTTTGTGATAGAGTACGCTTTAATTTCTAAGCTTTTGCGTGACGCGACATTTACAAGACGGCCAACAGAGCTGTCAAGTAGGTTAAAAAAATGACTTATTTCAGGATATTTTGCTATCTAAACAGTTCATGTATTAGAAAAAGTATTACTTTAATGTTTATGAGTTTCTCGAAGAATAAATTCACGCTTTTGTAGCAAAACTCAGTAACAGATGTTTCTGTTGGTTTCCGTCCGCCACGTTGGAGCTCACCCAGCTGAGCACCAGCACGGCGTCTCCATACAAGTCTCTATAAGTTTGGGTGAAACATTTCTTCGGATATCTCGTAAACGAAATATTCCTCTGAGCTGAATCTTGGCGAGGGTCTTTGTATATGTACCTCCTTTCATTTCCCAGATTCTAGACTTTATCTATTGAACGGTTTTGATTTTTATTTTGATCTATTTTGAATGGCGTGACAGTGAAAACCAGCAATCAAAAAATTACACCAGCAATTTCCTGTTGGATTCTGTCTTAACCATCACGGAAATTTCAAAGGAAAACCCCGCACCACGCGTCACGTTATGACGCTGTACCAAAATAATGTTTGAATATCGAATTTTTTTTTATTTTTTACTTTTTTCAAAGGCTATAGATGTAATCAGTTCGCTGTAATAACACGAAATAAAATGTCTCATGAGAGCCCCCGCTTATTTTTAGATCAAACTGACACCCGAAAGGCCGAAAGAAAATTTTTTTGTGACCACTTCCGCTCATCTCAGGGTCGGAATGATCGTCATTCCCCCCCGCCGCCTCCTTATCTGATCCGCGCGCCACAGCCACAGTTCCGGTGCCAAGGTGAATTGAATGCTGATGGAATACTGGTGTGATTGACTTTGTGTTGACGTCCGTATTTTACGTTGAAGAGGCTTATTACACATGGCGCATTATTTTGATGTAATCAGTTTCGGAATCAAGCAAATGCGTGCGCAATTCTCTCTTTTCTTTGGACTCCACAATGCCATGGGTCTCTGGAGTAAGTTGTCTTGATAAATAAAATTGAACGCTGTTGACGAAAACCCAGAAAAGACACCCAGGAACAACTTGGCGACGACGCCTTTCAGTTAATGCATCAGTCAATTCCACCTGCGCCCAGGCCCCCCCCCCCCCGGGCTGACCCCCGGGAATTAGCATTTTTTTTGCCTTGGATGGCAAATTCCCGGGGGTGGGGACTCTTGAGCTGGCAAATCCCCCGGGGTGGGGACGAAAAAAGAGGGCAAATGCACCGTCCTCCGTCAACAGTGCAACATTTTTTATTGATCGCACAGTCCAATAGTGCCATTTTAAAGTGCGATTTTTTGTTTCAATTAACGTCTTCCTTTGTAATAGCGCTAGGATTCTAATTAAGACTTCACGCCGCGACGACATGCACCAACTTATGGTTTTAGTATTGATATAAAATTATTGCCATTAAAATTAATAGAGCGCTGTAAAGTACAGTATGTTATGAATAGTTTTATAAATATGAAAGGGTGTTCTTCAAATAATATCAACAGAAATTTGATTCAATAACCAAAAAAACGTTGTTTCACATCGATAGCTCCAATTTCGCTATGTAATTCTGGCTTGATAAGCAATGAAGAAATGCATACATACATGTAAAATCGAGAACATGCCTTTACAAACCTACACCATTTATTCCTGTCCTTGACAGATGAGCCAATCTGCTTTTTTTCCAGTAAAACCTTCTGTGTAGTTATATGCTGATAGGAAACTGCGTGCGTGTCAAAAGCTCGGGAATGGCCCGGGGGTTGGCAAATGCCCGGCCCCCGGGCAGTGCAAAATTTGCAAATGACCCACCCCCGGGACTTACAAGGCGGGCAAATGCCCCGCAGTAGCCCGGGGGGGAGCTGGGCGCAGGTGGAATTGACAGATGCATTATATAAACGACGCCAACTTACCTCTTTCTAAAGGACCTAGTTATTGTCAGTGACTTCTTATCAGCTATAGTTTTTCTCCTCGCTTTCCTGTTTGTTGTCCCATGAGAATTTGCATTCATTGCCGGAAGTGGTATGAAGAGTCTTTTTACCGAAATCGACTCCTCTAGTCATACAGCAGTCTCCTCTGCCCGGGTGTTAAATTTATTCATTTCTTTTTATTGTCATTGCTAATATATATTTTTTTCCAAATCGATCTCTTGGAATCTTCTTTCACCGGTTCCGTGTTCCGTTTCCGTTCCTGTTTCTGCTTCAGTGATTCCGTTTCCTGAAGGCAGGTATAAAAGTCGGACCGGATCAACTCGGACCGCCTGTCCGGGTCGGATCAACTCGGATCGACTCGGACCAACTCGGATCGAATAAAAAAATAAAAATAAAATAAAATTGGACTCGGATCAACTCGGATCATAAAAAAACAACAACTCGCATTATAAAAAGAAAAATAAAATCAGTCAGTATCACTAACTTTCACCCGCCATTTTGTTTTTTTGTCACGAACTCGTGGTTGCCTAAATTAACTTTATTTTTATTTTTATTAATTTTAATGATACACTAGTGAGCAGCACAAATACACTTGCAGTGAACATTTTCAACTTGGAAGGAGGAGAAATCATGCTCGCCCGGGACAACGAAAATTTTCGTACCCTAGGCGAGTATTGAACTCACGACCCTCCGAATACTACATGTTTATCGGACGTTCCAACCACTGAACCGGAGGGTCGCGAGTTCGATTCTTGCCTGTAGGTATGGAAATTTCCTTTGTCCAGGGCGAGCATGGTTTCTCCTCCTTCCAAGTTGAAAATGTTCACTGGAAATGTATGTGTGCTGCTCACTAGTGTATCATTAAAATTAAGTTTCAGAAGTCCTGCAGAAAAAAAAAAAACAAACAAACAGGAACAAACAAACAAACACTCTTCGGTAACTATCTAAATGCGATCAACAGACCAGGCTTTTGATGCTTTTCTGATGAATAATTCAGTAGTCTAATAAATATGCCAATATGTCGGGGGCGGATCCAGGATTTTTTTCAGGAGGGGGTGCACTCGTCTCTTGCTCTACTTCAACACCAATAAACCACATAGTTTTTTTTTGGCAGAACACCAGTTGTATTAGAAAACCGCAGGTCATCTCAGGGGGGGGGGGGGGTGCGCACCCCCTGCACCCTCCCCCTAGATCCGCCCCTGTATATACATCCTAGGCGACTTACACTATCATTCCTTTACTGTCGAACCACAACCACGAGTTTATAACATAATCCGAGAGGAAATGGCACTAGTAAAACAAAATGGCGCCTGAAAGCCACGCAGAAAAAAATGGATGATCTGGCCTTTTTACCCTCCAAATGGGTTAAACTTTCAGTTTTGCTGATTTAATTTAATCTTTTTGATTGCTCCGAGTTGATGCGAGTCCAATTTTATTTTATTTTTATTTTTTTATTCGATCCGAGTTGGTCCGAGTCGATCCGAGTTGATCCGACCCGGACTGGCGGTCCGAGTTGATCCGGTCCGACTTCTGTACCTGCCTGTTTCCTGATTCCATATTTTAAAGGGGCTTTGTCAGCTGGAAAGCATGCGCTCTGAGGTTATGTAAATTACTTTTAACTGTCAAAATTCTATTGTTTTTAACGCGTGACTTTCTCCATGTTCTCTGTCACGTCCAACGCTCCTAATTTAGAGAGGTTAACAAGCGAAATGGGTTTAGATAAGGGATTTCATCTTTTCTGGATCCAAATGCCTACCCTTTGGAATATTTATAAAGTGACCATTTTACCTGTATTATGTGGAGATCCTGCTCCAAGAGGAACTCTGATTTTTTTAGAACGATGACAAAACAAAGCTATGAGCAAACCGCCTGACTTGCTCACAAACAATGGGAGACAAACTAGCGCTTCTAACATTATATAGCGGGCGAAGAATCATGTACGGTCTTCAGTTGGTGATCAAAATTGTTATCAATCAGCGTTTTCCTACGCAACTTCAGAATTATATGACCATGAGATCTGAATGACGTCGTGGTACGTATTGTAGGACCTTAATATTAAGTGGGATAGACGAGAAATTCATCTGCCTAAAGTAACTGAATCAACTATAGGCCAGTCTACTCTTCAATTCACAGGAGCAAAGGATAGCAATGAGTTCAGTACGCAAAGAATTACCGGCTGATGGCCTTTATTTAGGATCGTTTAAAGCAAAGTCATTAAATCATTTGCTAGAACTAGACAAAACTAAGCACAAATGCAGATTGAAGATTATAATTTTTTCTTTTTTAACGCCTTTTTCATTTTAAATATTAGTCGCCGTTTATTTTTTTTTTTCCCATGCACTATTGTTTATAATCTTTTATTATCTGCTTATAGGTCCGCATAAATAAGTATTTATTATTTATAGTTAGTTTGCATAAGGAAAAAAATCCACCAAATGATTTTACTATTTTATTATCATTATTATTATTATCATTATTTTCGTTATCATTATCATTATCATTATTATTATTATTAGTATTATTATTATTTTCGTTATCATCTTTTATTATCTGCTTATTATTATTAGGCTTATTATTATTTTCGTTATCATTATCGTTATTATTTTAATTGTTTTCATTGACCTCTTTTCCAGATTGTTTAGTTCAACTTTTCGTATAGTTATTTTATAGTAAGGTGATCGAGCATGTTTTAAGCTCAGCATGCACTGTTGAGGCATGAGCACTAAACTAAGATTCTGGTTGTTTTAAAAGCGGTTATGTAGATGCTACAGTAAGAGCCTTTTTTTTTTAGATCGCCGGTCTATATCATTTAGCAAGGAATCAGATAAGAACCAGTTTCATTCAACTTGATCTACAATTTTCTGATCCAAGCATTATATTTAGCGCTCGAGCAGTTTATGTACAGACCTAGATTGTTATTCTTTTTTATTATTCTGAATATTTTTTCGGTATAGGTAAAGGCGTCACAGTACATAAAAGAAAAAGAAAACAAGAAGTGACACGCAAAAAGTAAAATGTCCGCAACGACTCTAGCTGGTTCTCTACCAACTAAAAGAAAATAAGAAATACTAGTAGGCAAACTTTCTTTTTTCAGTAACTTTTCCAGTTATTTATATGGTAAGGAAACATGGTTCAGCTAATACTGACGGGTTCGTCAACCCTCCAGTCCCACGGGCATACTCACTCAGTCAATGAGGAGATCATTTGAACTAAGACGGACGCTGACCAGCGCTCTTTCAACTAAAGTGACGTATAACGGCGATTGAATTCCTGTCTATGCTTTCGATATGTCAGTGGTACTAAACGAGGTTAGTTCAATGCTGCTTGATAGGTCTGATCTTGAATGAGCTGTCAAATTAAGCGCACTGTTATAAGCCGTGTGGGGATCTTTCCTTGCGGGAAGATTTTTCGTTAAAAGTCTACCAAATGGATGACTGCAGGCTACTTTCGTAAGAGCTCTGAAAAACTTTTCATTTCTAAATGCGAATAAGCAGGGATCGAGACAAGCGTTAACGACCAAACAAACTGGCGGCAACCACCAAATGATTGTTTTATTCAACCTGGCGTCCTCAAAGACGTTTCCTCCACGAAAAATAAACGAGACCGTGGTACAGTTAGGGGCCGCGAAAAAGAAGAAACTGCTTAGAACAATGGCACTAATTCGTTTCGCGAGTCTGGATTCTCGAAGCACGCCCATGTTGCGAGCAGATCGGCGTACAACGATGAAAATGTGGAAGTATAACACAACAACGACAAAATATAAGAACACCAGAACAAGGAGAATGAGTTCACTCGCATAAATGGTAGATGTTTTGAACGTATTTCTGGTGATTAAGCACATTTGACCATCCGTTTGATTGTTCCTTTTGTCTAACATTTGTACTACTGTCGCCGATGATGCACCCGCGATCCAAGCAAAGGCCAAGGCAGCTGCAATAACTTTGTGACCAAGCCGTGCGGCTGGTTTCATGCAGAAGACGATGGCCAGATATCGTTCGGCCGTCATTAATAGAGTTGTTAGACTTCCAGTGACTTCTGCAAAGATAAATATGCTCCTTAGTGCAGGGCAGTAGATTTCTTTCCAGTCGTTGAACTCTTTAAAACTGAATCCGTGGCCAAGTGCAATTCCCATTGAGTATATTCCCACCAAAGTGTCACAGAAACCCAAATGCGATACCAACAAAAACGGTGGACTCTTTCGAAGACTTCCAACCCTCAATACCGTTCCAAGAACTGTTATATTCAATACCATAGCAATGGATCCTAAGATGAACAGCGTTGGCCTTAGTTTGTTGATAACTATCCAACAAATATTGGAACGGGTAGTGACAATTTTATTCTTGTTTATGACTACAACGCAATCCTGGCCATCAGGACATCGAGTCTTGTTTCTTGAAGACTGTTTAGTGATTGGCTCTTGGCGAATATAGAAACATCCCTTTGTGTGCTGTGGAATGTATTTAAGCTGCGTGTTGTTCGCTGCTCCAGTCTTGGTATAGCGGGAAAGTACTGCGACTGTGTTTTTTGATGGGGAGCCTAACCAAACCGTCACGTTATTACCATCTAGGTTTCTTTTTAGGAGAAATGATAGAAAGAAGACAATAAACCCCTTGTTTCATTCCTAAACTTTCACTCAACTAAATAGGGACAGCCTTTGGCTGATTCTTGGTCACGTGGCCTTGACGAAAATCAAATGTATTCCGATTGTGATACATTAAGAAATGTACCCCGCTCGGGATACATTACCACACGTGATCAAAGCATGGTGGAAAGTGGCCTAACAGAAGGCGGGAAAAACGTAAACAAGGAAAGTACTTTGTAAACCATTCATTCAGTGGTTTTGAGAATTAAATTTGTGTTCTTATAAGTAACGAGTCCACTGTTTTGATTCGCTCCGCTAAGCGTATTCTTTTGTGGCTGTTGAAGTATGTTGCAGTGAAAGTCTAGAAATATAACAAAACACTTAATTTCACGTCCCTCGGGAAACCAGTTAGTTTTGTTTTCCCTCGAGTGCTGATGTTTCCCTAGAATTCGTCTCGGGAAACATCAGGACTCTCGGGAAAACAAAACTAACTGTTTCCCTCGGGATCTGACTTTAATAAGTGTATTGAGATATACTCACTGAACAGCTATGACGTAAATTTCATACGCAAATGAGTTCTAGCCAATCAGAGGAGCGAAAGATGCTTTTCACACTTGAAAAAAGCGATACGTCCAATCAGAATCGCGAACGGTGTTTTTTCACGTGTGAGAAAAATGATACGTCCAATGAAAAGCCTTAGAGGTGTGTGAGTTTTACGGGGCCCGCCTTTTTTAGGCGAAAAAAAATCGCGGAAATTGTATTGGAATAGTTTTGTATATTTCACTATCGATGAAGAAAATTGAAAAGAGCTGGCAAAACAACGGCAAAAGGGAGTCTAAAGGGGAAAAAACAGAACGAGAAGTAAGGTTGTACTTGAACTTTTTATCGGAGCTAAGCTTATGGCTGTTTATATATATTCAAACCGGTCAATTTACTCAAAATCGTTCATTTTTATTTGTACATTCAGAAACAAGTTAAGACGGAATCCACCAGGAAATTGAGTAATTTTAACTTTCAGTGGACAAAAACCTTGTTCCAGGATATTTTATTGAAGAATATTGCATCTCTTTTCTTACACTTTTCAAGGGCTAAACATGTAATTAGTCAGCAAAGAAAATTTCTCAAGGGAGTCCGAGAAAATGAATGTCAAATTTCACGAGAATCGTGAAAACACAGGTAAAATTCTGAAAATTTCAGACGAAATTTTGTGAAATTTGCCATTTATTTATTTTTTTTTTTTGCCATTTATTTTCTCGCGCTCCCATGAGAAATTTTCTTTGGTGTTGTTACAGATGACTAATTACATCTTTGAAAAATGTAAAAAAGAATGCAATATGCTTTAAGTTATTCTGGTGCAAGGTTTTTGTCCACTAAAAACTAAAATTACTCAATTTCCTGGTGGATTCCGTCTTAATATTACTTGTATTTCCTGGACTATTTAATATCCTCATAATTTTTACCGAGCGTTCTTTAATACTAAAATAAGCTTAAGTTGCTTCGTTGGCAGTTCATGGAGTGTAGAGGCATATTTTGGCATTTTAGGATGCTGGAAGGATCTGATTTAAAAGGCTGGCAAAATTATGAATGTCTTAATATGTATATAATGAACACAATACGACATGGAAAGTGCGTTGTACGGTATTAACGCACGAGTTGTTGACGTATCAGAAACCTCACTCGTTTGCTGCGTTCACTCGTTCGATTTCTGATACGTCAACAACTCGTGCGTAAATACCGTACGCCCGCACTTTCCATGAAGTATCCTCTATATAATATGCTTTTTAACCTCCTCTTCTCAGCGGTATAGGGTGCAGGTAAAAGGTCAACGTTTACTTAAGTGGTGGGTACTCGTACCACGTTACCTCCTTGGGGTACTTTATGGTTTGAAACCCTGATCCTATTTATGAGAACTGAACGAAATTATCATGGTATACCCTGTATGCATGTACGACACTAGGTAACTGATTAAAATGTACGCTATGATATTCCTTTAATTGGGCATTGACCAGGAAAAACCAGGGTAGAAAAAAATATAACAAAAAACAAAAAAACAAACTAAATAACTTAAACTAACTAACTAACTAGATAACTGAAAAACAAACAAAAATCCTGTCCTTAAACTCTTACTAATGATGAACCCACGTCATTTTACATGCATACTGATAATTCCCTTGCGCCTTACATAAGTTGGTCACTGCCGCTTGGAGCATTTTGGCAAATTTTACAATTCATTTTATTTTCAAATTTTCCATCTTACTGGTATAAGCTCTACAAAAATCTATTTGCCATGAAATTAGTCAGGCCACAGCAATAACATTTTACTTACACTTGTTTCATATTAAAAAGAATATTGAACACCTGATAGGACAGTGTGACAATCTTGTTATTGCTCAGGTCACTATAAAAAGCAAACATAAACCGTAATGAGAGCCTTATAATTATATAACACGAATATCACATCCCAACATGGAACGCCCAGTTAGTTTGGCTGTGCGTCAACGCCTTAGCCCTTGGCGTGTCGTAGGGAGTTTAAGTAAACTGACGGCGTTTTTAGAGACGCTCGTAGAGGCACTTCGATCCTTTTAAATAAATATTCCTATAGACACTACCAAATTTGTATTTCTAAATGTTGTTTTTCTCTCTTATGTACTAAAAATTTGGGCAGAAACTACCGGCCTTGCATGCTTACTTTACTTAATAACCTCCCTTTTAATTAGGTGCCTTCTTGAAAAAAATAAAGTATACAGACTCCACATGATGCATTTGTATGTGATTCTTTAGTGTAGGCGTTTCGCCAAGTGATCCACAGTTTTTCGAATCAACAATGTGTAGGACATCATACGGCCGAGAAAGAGTTAAGACGTCATCATTTTCTTAGTTGGCAGGCTGATTTAAACGTTTACGTATCACATACTAAGCAATAGTTGGGTGAGGCTGGTTATGATATGAAGAATTCATATCCGGCAAAGGAGAGCGTTATCCGCCGAGCGCGAAGGCCGAGGCGTTCAAACGCGATAACACCCTCCTTGAGCGATCTGTATAATTGTTCAGATGATACTAGTCATACTAGCTCTGCCTCATACAATAATTGCTAAATTTTAACATCAATACTGTTATTATTTAATACCGTGGTTGTTGCAGAAGTGTTTCTTTAACTTACAGAATTTCGAGGACAAGGAACCCATGGAATGCTTTTGTTTCTACGACGGTAATGTTGTTATGCTGTAAGTATCTGAAAGAAGAAAACGAAAAGGCGTTCGAAACATAAAGAGCTAGGACGAACGAGAACAGGACAAAAAAACACATTAGATCAATCAAAAGGATCAAACTTTATACAATAATCAAGTTACTTTGTAGCTCAATCAATCAATAAATGTTGCCGCTAAACAATAGACTTACTACTTCGTCGTCGTCCCTGCTCAGTTAGCTGCAGAGGGCTCTTTTCCCCGGTATTCGGCGGGTGGGAGTCATACAGCGAATATCAGGGAAAAGAGACCTCTTCTAGCAGGGAATTCGTCGTCAGTCAGCGGGCTACTAAAAATGAAGTTCAGTCTTTCTTTGGTAACCATAGTGACAAACAGACATCAGGGGTTTTATTACTTACAAAGACTTCAAGGATTGCATGCCACGAAACATGTTGTTGGTCAGAGTTTTCAGTCCATTGTTACGTAGATCCCTGAAAAAACAACAGCAAATTTGCTGATCTTGATCTAGATCACAGTCCACAAGAAATGATGCTATGTTGAAACATGAATCTCGGACGAGCATAGCGTTTTTCGGATTTTTTTCCCAGAAGATAAAACATCAGCTCCTGGCTTTTTCTGTAGCTGTTCGTTTATCCCTCTCGCACATTTTGAGGCAAGTTTAGTGGTGGTCAGTTACTATGATTTCGAGATATGACCTCATAAGTAGCAGGTGATCAAGCCATTTTTGAGTGATATTGCATGTTTTTTCAACTTATTTCAGGAATAAAAGTAAACTTGTGGATAAAATGATGCAAAGTACTTATTGATATGTTATTTTACATGTTGAGCGCAAAAAATTATCAATTCTTACTGTTTTTACTTAATTTCTAATTCTTGATAAAATCTAAGATGGCGGCCAAGATGGCGACCATGCTTGGTAACGTTACAGACCTCTAGCGGCGCCACCAGCCCATAAAATAGACCTCATAATTTTAGAGAAGATCAAAGGCTTTCCACTGAAGGCAAAATCGTTTTTAAATATAGCAACATATCAAAAACTCAAGGGGGGTGGGCTCTATCAACCCCCCTCCCCTTGTACCACGGCTCGGGTATGACTTTGCGTGTATGTCCAAGCAAACAACTAGACTGTCTTGCCTGATGCAAGATTTTATTCATCATGTATGTTTATGATAGATTAGTTTCTCGTTTGTGTCACGATTGTATGGGGGATCTTACGATTCATTTCATTCGTTTCTGCCTTCGGGTAAGGTTAGGCTAACCTGTCTGCTATGTAGTTAAATGAAGGGAAATTAAGATTGTCCAAGTGAATAATGGCAAAATAGACCTCGAATATGAAAATGGCAAACAATTGCAAGTCACTACAATCAAAATAACTGAGTTTAAAGAAAACATATCCATCCAGAGACTTGATTTGTCTGGTAGCTGCTCCCCCAGTCTTCCGCTAGCTACAGCTATGGGTGTATCGTAAGATCTCTGTAGCCTAAAGGAACAGCCAAAAACTTGTATAACCACTGGTTTCCCTCGAAATGAAGCCTGGAAAAACCAGTGATGGCGTCTCGAAATGTCGGCTGTTGTTTCAGGCTAGAGTCCTTATGCATGTTAGCGTTTCGACCCCGTACTGCAGCTGGTCTTCTTTAGGGAGATTATCAGTACCACCATGGTTGCTTGTAGTGATTGGTGGATCACAAACCTCGGTTGTGGTCCACTGTGTTAGCAATGTCAGTGATCAGCCGTTGTGTCGTCTGATCGTAGGTATTGTCGCTTCTGGAATCTCAACTTTGAGGTTCGAGCTCTTGAAAACCGTACGTTCCTGTCATGCTACATAAACTGTTCCTGTTTCGCTAATATATGCTTTGCCGCATTACCAAGGAACCTTATAAACTACTTCATCCTGTTTACATGGGTTAACAACATCCTTAGGTCGAAAAGTGAGTGTGATATCGATGTTAGTGTCGTGTCGGATTGAAAACAAAAACACCTTTCATTTCTCGTCATTTAGCTTCTAAAACGAAGAATTAGAAAAAGAATTAGACTGAACTTCTACGGTACAAGCAAGAAACCGAGTTTTAACGTTTCACTTTTTGATTACATCTATTTGCGTCTTTCTGCTCGGTTCTGTATGTGTTCATTTCTGTGTTTTGGGTCCATTGCTCCGAAGAAAAAGTTCACTGTTAATATTAAAATTGCATTTTCTTAACAAAACCAAGAAAGAAAACAAATATTACAGAAGCTTACAATTTATTCAGAGATTGAAGGCCCTTGAATGACAGGTTTCCTCGTAAGACTTGTATGGCATTGTAGCTGATATTTCTGCAAAATGTACATTTTTTGTGGTTATAAGTGTACTCTTTTTCATATTATGATAAAGCATGAAGCAATATTCGTTCTAACCATAAGCAGAAGATGCCTCATCAAATATATGCATTGTATAAATCTATTGTTGTTGTTGGTATCCTGGTTACTCGTTTTGAGGCTGAAGTGTAGAATATTTACTCCGTTTCGTGTAGTTTTTGATAGAAAGAGCCTTATAGCCTTTCTATTGATATTTTATTGGCATAAGGCACAAAAATAACTTAAAGACAACTTACAATGTCTTCATTGACTTAAGACCCAAAAATGTTCCTTTTGGGAGAGCTGTTATCAAGTTAAAAGACATATCTCTGAAAAATAAGTTCAAAGTTAAGACACCTTATATAAAAATTCATTTGGAGGTATTTTGTGATATAGACTCCTTTTATGATTAGCATTTTATTTGGTTCATTCTCAATCTCACTTATTTTGGCAACTTGAATATAAATGACCGTCAATTAATTAGTATACTGCCCTTTATTTGCTTTTTGGTACTATCTGTTTTTCTTTAATTTGTCTGCATCAGTTTTTTCTCTTTCAAAAAGAGAAAGCCTGAAGGCTTCAGGCTTTCTTCGCTTAAACTGCTCAATTTGGTTTCCTCAAGACATGTCTTTCATTTCTTCAAAATCCTTTAAATATCTATATACGATATTTTAAAAGTCTCAGGAAATTTTAGCCTTTTTCTTTTTCTCCCTTTTTTGTTTTCTTCTTTTCTGTAGGATTTGTCAAGATTGAAAATAATAATAATAATAATAATAATAATAATAAATGAATTCAGGAACTGTTTCATAATTTTTCTTTTTGGTTAAGTATAGTAGCTCATAGTGTTTAAGCATAATTCCAGTTCCCCTAGTTTTAGCTACGATGCCGGGAACGGTGGCGTCGCTTTATTTCCCTGAATATCGCAGAGGGCAATTTCTTTTTTGGCTTATTCATTGGTTGCATTCCTAGTTAAAAGCAAGGAAATGAGATATCATGTGTCTTGCAATGCAATAAATCTTTTTTTGTGGTTAGTGATGTAACATTCAATCGGGGGTGGTGGGATGGAGATTTAGTCAGTAAATGTGCCAGAAATCAGCAATCTGCATTTGCTTATCTAAGCCCCACATCATCACTTACAAATTTTCAATGGTGCGAAGGACAGAAAACGCCTCGTCTTGAATGCTTGTTATATTATTGTGTTGTAAGTATCTAAAGAAATAATAAATGTACTGAAAACAACAAGTATGCTCAATTAAGGTGGCTGAACACTGTTTTGGCAGTTTTTGAGTGTATGTCATTCGCCAAATCATGCCAAGAGAAAGGTTTTAGCTTGAAAGCTGAAACTTGGCAAGTGAAAAATATCCTGTTGAAAGATTTTGATTGACAGGTAAAATTTGACGTTTTCGTAGTTTCCATAGCCACATAAACGATTGAATACAACCTTAAAATTTAACATTTGCTCAGTTTACATAAAATTTGTTCATTACATTTTCCTATAAACTTGCACACAGCTTACGATAATTAATCATTACCATTTGAAACTTACTTGACCAAATTTTAACAGACGGGTTTTTTAGATAATCAATAATATAATTATACTGTAATTATTAAATGTGTCACAAGATTCGTCTGTTCAACTTCCATTTTAAAGTTCTCATTATTTTTTTGAAATACGGTAAAAGTAAAAATTTTGCCAAATATCACAAAATTTTAATAAGAAGATTTTGAGAAATCGTCTTCTGTGTACCATTGCCTTTTTCGCCGCCATGTTTGTTTGTCTAATTTAAAACACACGCTACCGCTGACCGCCCGCAAAACTGTGTTCAGCCACCTTAATTAGTTACATGGTTCCTTAGTCAGTCATTCGGCCATCAATGGCCGTAAATTTGCAATCCATTAATAAATGTCAATAGGCAAAAGGTAAGAGCTTAGGAGGCAGAGCCGTTAGCCAGACAATCAGTATATCAGCAATTGAAGCTAGTCTCGGTTGACAGCCGGCCGGCAACACAGCCAGAGAAAGTGGTGATTAGTTTGTTAGCAGCCATTTAATGAATATAGGAGTCTATTAATCACTCAGTTATCCTTCAATCAGTCAATCAATCGATCAATCAATCAATCAAACAATCAGGCAATTAATCAATCAATCAAACAGTCAATCAATCAACAAATCAACCAATTAAACAATCCACTAATCAGTCAGTCAATCAATCAATCAATCAGTCAATCAATCAATTAATCAATCAATCAAGCACAGAAATAAGCAAACAATTATACACTACTCATCCAATTTAATTTATTTTAAGAAGTTGTAAACAAAAGTCAAATACAGTATCACTTACAAAGTTTTTAAGGACATTAGACCGCGAAACACGTCATTGGTGAGATTTTCCAGTCCGTTATGGCTTAGATCACTGCCCGAAACAAAGAAGGACCACCAATAAGCATACTTCAAACTACTGGAATCCTAACACCTGGCAGCCACTTAGCTGCATAGGATACGATTTGTAAGTTTGAGCGAGAAAAAAAATCAATCATTTTAAACTTGGATCTTAACATGCAAGGTTATCAAATGGAGAGTTAAATGCCAAGGGACCTATACCATTACTTATCAGTTCTTGCAAGTTTAACCCACCAACACGTGATTTTTTTTTTTCAAACCTAACTACCATTATTTCACATCGATGCGACCTTGCAACAGATTTCTTCGGTCATTTAAAAGGTTCAAACGGGCCCAAAACGGTGCTCTTTTTATCGATTGGTTGATGGAAATTTATTCCCATGTGGGCATGGCGGTTACTGGAGGGCGTAAACGACGTAATGGGGGGTGGTCTTTGATTTTATCAAAAAGGTGCGGCTCATGCCCGTGTTCGAATTTGCTTTGGATTTCACGGAGTCGTCAACATTTGATTGTTATGATTACAATGATTAGACCATGACTCGATCGTCGAAAGAGCCTACTTTACAACTTGTAATACGAAATAATTAACAGTTAATGAATGAGGCTGAGTATCTTATGAAGAATTATGGAGATCGAGGAGGGTGTTATCCGTCGAGGCCGTAGGCCGAGGTGGATAACACCCTCTGAGATCTCCCTAATTCTTCATGTGATACGAAAGCCGAATTCAATAACTGTTTTATTATTCATTCAAAATAATTCCTAGTTTAAAAACATAGCTAAAACATGCTTACCTCCATCGATGTTCAGTTCGTCTTCGATAGTGTACGTTTAGGTTTGTCCAGCTCCGCAAATATTCTCCAAATAGCAGATGTCGCCATTCGAGTTGTCTTCTTGCTGTTCTTGCCATGTTTTTAGCTATTTTTTCGCCTAGTTCTTACTCTTGAAACGAGTGAAATGTCCGCCATTTTTTCAAGTTCACAACCAAAACAACTCAACCTCGCCCCAGGCCTTCTCGGTTAACGGTGCCTTAATCCGCGCTAACGCTGCATTTTTGACATCATTTCCTCGTTAAAGTCAAAATTCTTCCAAATTTGGTCATCAGTAACTGGTTATGATGAATTAAACGTGTGCTTTTAGCCAATCAGAATAGGGGAAATATTTTGAATGAATAATAACAAAGATTATTGCACTGACAATACAAATTAACTTACAGCTCAGTCAATGAGGGAAGACCCCTAAACGTCATGTTGCCAGTTAACCCCTTTAAGATATTGAAGCTTATATTTCTGAAAAAAAAAAAATGTTGAGTAGCACAAATCAACATTTTATTGGTCACGCATTTGAATTATATTTCATACATTGACCGTCCAAGGACTGTGACGTCTGACGTCATACAAATTGGCTGCCATCTTGGATTTTCCTGAAAAACCTCAGCTTTGCAAATCAGTATTTTTAATGTTCTCGAGTTTGCTTAGAGGTCCTTTATTTTTAGTGCGTTCATGGCGGTTAATATTGCAAGAGTAAATGCATTAAGCAGGACGTAATGTAGCTTACAGTGTTCTCACTGAGCGCAACCCATTAAACACTTTCTGTGGCAGTTTGGCTATCAAGTTGAAGGACATGTCCCTGTAGAAACAAAGAAGATACAAGTCATGAAATCTGGGGATCCTTTCCTTTCACTTTTTTTTTCAAACTGTTCATAAACTATTTAATTTAATTAAAATAATTTTGTTCATTCATTTAAATGAATTCATTTATTCGTTTATTCACACACTCACTCACACTCGCTCGTTACATTTTTCTTGAGACGTTTCAATCTTATATGAGTCATTCACTCTCTCTTTTCCTTCAGTTATTCAACCCTTTCGTTTGTGCCTTCGTTTGTTTATTTGTTCTAGTATTAATTTACTTTTCACAGCATTTAAGACAATTACAGATATTGCAGCTGCTTCATCCACGTGAGCCCATCCCGGTGAATAGTAGAAATCAAGTTTTTGTTCAGGTACCTAGAGCAAAATAATAATAAAAAATTGAATAACAATGATAATAATAATAATGATAATTTGCTTATAGAATAACTAACATGGTTTGCGCGCTCTGATTGGTCGAGAGGCGTATTTGCATTAGAGTATGTAAACATGGTTGCTTCGTCAAGATGATTTGCTTTTCACCCACTAATCACGCAAGCATAAATTGGAAAAGGTTTTGAAGTGAAAACTCGACTAGTTTACTTTATTTGCTTATTCACTCGTCGGCTGAAACTTTGAAAACCTTCACAAACATGCTGTGTCAATTTTTTTCTCACTTAAGCTGACATTTTAAACTAGAAAAATCCGTATTTTGGAAAGCATATTTTTTGCAAAACAAGAACTGATTACGCGTGTACAAAACTTTGTTTTTTCTCCGGAAAGTTAATTTATAAAAGCAATAGAAAACTTTTTTCTATATTTAAATAGCCTGATATAGACTTCGCCTCAGGTTTGCATAGCTGTCTCCAATTCCAACCCCTCTCGTATTTATATCAGGCTATGCAAACGCGGAAAACGTTTCCTAGCTTTCTCTTTAAATAGCCCCTTTTAACACATACATGACCAAAAGCGCTTTACATTGTCTACATACTAGTTAAAATTTCTAAAATGAATCTATGATAGATAAAAAAAGGCAAAAATACTAATAACAAAAGAAACATAAATAAAATGAAAATAAAGCATAAAATCTCATTTAAAAAGATATGTCTTGACATGTCCCTTAAAAGCCGCCAATGATTCGATGTTAAGGATAACGGATAAAATTTAAAGTGAAGCAAATACGACATGAAATAAACGCAAGACAAAATTAAAGTAATGAAAGCTTTCATTGAATAAAAATCTGATTTTACGTGTTTTATTTCACTTTCAATCAATTGAATAGGTAAATGTCAGCTTCTGATTAAAAGACAAATGTATATAACTTACAAGATTTTTAAGCTCTTCACATCGAAGAATACTCTTCTTGGAATCATAGTTATCTCGTTAAACGACAAATCTCTAGGGAAAGAAAATGTATAACGTTTGGTGACAATTTTGTGCTAAAATCGTTTACAGTGTATAAGGTACAAATCGTCTTCACATACTCTATATGTTATGATGCCTTGTTCTTCACGGGAAAGCAATGGGAAGGCAAACCTTTGACGATATACAGCTACACCTTTACTCATTGACTAACCTGGTGTGTAATTTTCACCAGTTGATAGGAACATAACTCCCCCTTTATTCCTTTTCTTACACAGGGTCGCAGTCTCAAAAGTATGGTGGTCTGCATTGAGACATCACCATTACGATCGGCAAAAAGGCGTTTTCAGCATCGTGTTAGGGGTGGTCGGAGGGTGTGGGTGCCTAGAGGATTATTTCATACGAGGGGCGTCATGATCATGCCTTGTATGCAACCCTGTATATATCAAGTCGTCTTGAATTCGCTTTGCTTTTGAATCCTGACGACGATTTTATTTGGGCCTGGAAATAAGTTTGGCAAATCGCGGAACTCTATCCACTTTAAAACCAAGCTGCCATGTAGTCCACCTCATTATCTGTTCTCTCATAGTATCGCATTAATTTCACTCCCCCCACAAAACCCCGATATACCCTTAATTGTTTGTAACAATAAAGACATCATTTCCATTTTTTTTTGATGAACTAGCAATGCTAATCAGATTGTGATTCTACGAAAAAGTGGAGATTGTGGCCACGGGCTCAGGAAGATTGATATTTGATATCTTTTTACTTACAAAGAAAGAATCCCGTTAAACGACCGCAACACCCTCTTCTCCAGTACAGACACTTTGCTACCTGAAAGTACCCTGAAGAAGAATTTAAAAAGGCAAAAACGTACAACAAAATTAAGAAAAGTCTTAAATTAAGCGATCTTGGAACATTGTGTGACAAATTGATCTAAGTATACAGTTTATTACGAGTAAGTTTTATCCATTGGAAGTACAATTATGCATAAGCTGATTCATACCCAGGGACATTTTTCAACTTTTGTTGATCAAAACAATGTTGCAGCTTTGACAAATCGATCTAAGTACACGATTTATTATAAGTAAGTTTTTACCCATTGGAAGTACAATACTGTATAAGCTGATTCATACCCAGTAACATATTTTTCAACATTTGTTGATCAAACAAATATTGCAACTTTTCCTAATCCCTGTACGGCGTCGTCGCCCTCTTAGGCTTTACCGGTCAATGGTCTTGGTAATAGAAAGAATTAGAATCACGTTCACGGCAACAACTAACACGAGATAAAGTTCACAATTTCTCCGATTCAAAACTGTCCAAAATAATTTGCGTAAACCTGAAATATGGAACAACTTATTTTTAGTAGATGTAATAAACAGTAGACGATAAATAAAGGGAAAACTTTATCACGTGGTACAATTTGACGTTTGCCCGTAAATCTGATTCTATTTGTGTCTGATGAAGCTCTTCCGGGAGAACGTGACCCAAAACGCAGTTTGACGTTGTTAAACGGAAAACAGGAATTTTTAAAAACTTGTGTGAAAGATCATGGAGATATAATTATAGCTCTGGCTGAGGGCTAGAGAGGAGGATTTAATTAGCATGTATTCAGGCAGTAGACCTGCACCGTCCTAAACCTCTTATTTCACTGCACCCCCTTAATCTATCAGCACTTCCATTGTTTTCAGGGATAGGGGCATTGTTATGTGACCATGCCTATTGTTTTTCCAGCTAATCAAAAACAATCTTTCAAATAGGTGCGGCATCGCCCCTCTTGTAAGCGGTTTTGTAAACATTTTGGTCCATTTAAACAAATAAGCGAATAATTTTGAAACCGCTAGATAGATGTTTTTAAAGAAAATTGAGGTTCTCGAGATTGACCGTCGTTTTATCTGACTTTCGAGTCTCGAGATTATTGATAACTTGTAAGGCGGTAAAATTTGAGTTACAATTCGCTATTTTTTTTTTCGTGTTTACAAGTGAGAGTCTCATTATTCAGGGGTGTTGTCTCCAAGTTTCATATTTTCGTGAACAACAGTAGCTAACATTTCTTCAAAGTCTAATAATCTGCTTTTAATTCGAAAGCAAATACAATGCTTGTGCCAATAATGAAGTTTTTTTGTTTAGTTAATCACCTTAACTTGTTGTAGTCGGAATGTCTACGCCGGTCTTCTTCTGTGCTTTCCGTTTTGGTTATACTGAAGCTATAATTTACACTGTAAATTACTCGTCTAAATTAAAGTCTTTAAAAGAAAATATTTATTTGAAATATAAAAATTCCCAATCAATGATGAATTTTCTTATATTTACAGAAAAAAATTAAAGATAATATTGATTGGTAGGATTTAATTGGAACAAATACAGACACCAAGTTTAAACATTCACATTCGTTTTAATTTCGAAGCCACAGTGAGTTTCGTTTTTTTATTAAACTTAAGACATTGCGCTGAATAACGTTAAAAAGTAAATAGGAAAAATGTAGTTTTTGCACTGTTACATACTTAATTGACTGACCTTTTGACTTACTGGGCCGGGTCTGGTTTATGGATCAACTTAACATGTTTCCTCTACGGCAGAGGTTGTTAGTAACAGTATTATCGGCTAAATTCGAAATCATTGAATTCAGAAGGAAAAGGACTATTAAATATTAACCTTGGAAAGTTACACTAAAAGCATGTTCATTCTGATCATGCTTTCTTATTACAACACATCCTTAAAATATACGCAATAAGCTTATAATTTTTGTTTTATTTTATAGAGGTATTCTTCTTGAAAATAAGGATTTCCGTTATTACCAATCACATAAATTTTTAACACACAAGTAAAAACCGAGATCGCCCTGGTAATAAGCGAAGTGCTTTAGCCGTCGGCTTTTTTTTTTTCCCGTTTTTTTTTTTTTTTTTTCTTGTTGTACGGTAAAACTCTACTTTGCCAAAAAAGTTGATATTGCTACCCTAACACTCTTTTTGTGTTTCTTTTTTACCGCAAAAGATACAAAGTTCAAGTAGTTTAAGCTTATCCCTTAAAAACGACAATATATTTTTCACCCAATTCCCTAAATTTTTCCCTTCTTTATTTGTAACGATTTTTCACAGTCGATATATATCAACTTCCATCATCAAATGTAAAAAAAAGAAAAAAAATCGCTTTCTTACATTGCAAATCTATTTTTAATCACAGGAAGACCTAAAAAATCGCTAAAAATTCACGGATCAATTACTTCAGTTATGTAATACATTAGATACTCCGCATTTGATTGACGAAACAACTGAAAATTCCGTTTTTATCCTTCTAGCATGAAGAAGAGTATGGAATGATTATAAAGAATAAAAATCTCAGTTTACTTCATAATTTCTTCCTTTCTTTTTTATTTTCCCCCCAAAATTGGGAACTGTGTCTGTAAACTTTAAAAATGCAAAATTCTGTGAATAGGTATCAGTTACGAAAAGAACCAACATTTTCCGAGAAAGCACTGACACAAATTTTAAAAGAAGTAAATATTATGAAAGCTAAAACACGTGCGAGGTATTAAGCGACATAGCACTAATGCTATCATTTCACTTACAGAGAAACCTTTTATTGCTTATCGACGCAGTTTTGACGTTTGGCATAGAGGGACTGAATTACTGAGCGCGTAAGCGACTTGCTAAAGAGGGCCGGGCTCAGACAAACCCACGGTAGCAATATTTTGACTGGCTTGTGAATATTACCTCAGTCAGTTCAAGACGTTAGCATTAATAATTATCAACATCATAGAGTAGACCGACGCTAGCTTGCGAACTCATAAAACCAACCCACTCACTGATCGAATTTAAAGTATAAGCTGGTAGTTAACGACGGATAGCTGAAATAAAAAAAGAAAGAAGTTACATGTACGTTTTTGCCTAAACTTTTAATACTTACAGCGAGCAGGTATTTTGTGGAACTTGGATGTTCTTGAGACTGCTAGCGTTACATTTCATTTTTGTCAGTTGTTGCATTCCGATCATAGGGCAAACTGAACAGCGACATTGTCTAGCACAAACTGTAGGAAATGCATCGCTTTTGAAGTCATGAAAAAGAGAAAGAGGTAGTAAAATTAACGTTATTGTAATTGTTACTGAAATCATCGTTTCAAAATTCACTTGCAAAGAAGGAAGCCAGTGGGCTTTGCACGGTTAACACCAATCGTATTCTAATTCCAAACTGCACTTTACACGGATTTAAGAAAACTACAATGTGTTTTTCATTTTGTTTGAGTGTTTCAGCCTCCATCAATACGTGTCATTAAAATCGTTTGTTTTTTCCTCTTTATCTTTGCTAATTATTGACGGAATAGGGCTTAGATGTTTGATTAAAAATCCAAAGCTACCCATCGAACTCTGTAATGGAGATACAAATTGACTTGAAAATGACATTGAAATAATTGGTTTTTATTGAAAACGGAAATTTATCGGAAACATCAATTCGACAATTTATGGAAAGCACGTTTGTCTTTCCTATTTTTTTAGGACCGAGTTTTTTCAGTCGTATTGAGGTTCATAAAATTGTTTATAGGGTACCGTACGTGTTTGCCACAAACAACGCAGTGCTTTATTCTCGATTTAATAGCTACACCAAAGTCCGGTGCTAAAATTAATAATTAAAGATATGGACAGAGTAATCAAAACTGAAAAAAACAACATGTATATGATGATAATTACATTTCAATAATGGAAAGTGATAAAGTTTTCAATTTCAATAAGGAGCCTTCGACATATTCACTTTTCCCCCGCTTAAAGTCAACTGGACATTTTTTTTGGGGGGAGGGGGCTACGTAGACTGCACATTATTGGGAGCATGTTGGACAAAATCAAACTGATGCATTTTCATAAGTTTTTCTTCATGTGTGGAAAGGCGCTTGTGACATTATTCAAGAGAAAGCAGGACCATTTGTACATTTTACATTGTGATCTTTTAAACTATCCTGAATAACCAATACATTTATACAATACCAAAAATTGTGGTTAGTTTGCTGATTTTATAAACACGTTTGTGAACACAAACAACTGGAATCGTTTGTCAATACGTACCTTCAAAACATGGCAGCCATGTGCCAGCAATTCTGGTTTTGACCTCTGAATATGAAGTGTAGTAGGAAATCAAAAGCATCGACGGGAAAAAGCAGTTACACAGACTTTGCAAGAGAACAGGTAGGAGAAACGTGCAGTAAATTGTGTTGATACCGTTGACATCTTCACGAGTAACTGCATGTCAGTATTCATTCTGGAATGCAGTGAACTTTTTGGACAGCAAAATTTCAAGTGGACGTTAAGGAGCAGGGTGGGGGGAGGGCTCTGACTTAATCGTCCAGTTGACGTTAAGCGGAGAAAAAGTGAATATGTCGACGGCCCCTAAGTTGATCGTAAAAGTGATAAATAAAGCCTGGCTTTCACTAGCGCATTAAGCATAAGCATAAGGACATACGCACGCGCAGAATGGCATATTTGACTCAATTCTCCACACCAGCTCTCCTCAACCCAATGATAAACAAGATTACGGAAGAAGCGTCCGCCATATTGCTTTTGATATGTTCGCATGTGGTCTGAGTCAAAGTGACCTGTGATTGGTCCACGGCCTTGTGTGGCTTATGTCGACCTAGTTTTCACTAGTAAAAGCTACGACATAAGCATAAGCACAAGCACAAGAAGAACGAATTTGTCCGTTTTTCTTGTGCTTATCATTATGTCGACCAAGTTGGCACTTCCTTACACATGTGCTTGTGCTTATGCTTATGCTTATGCGCTAGTGAATACCATGTTTAAGTGGCTGTCCACCTAAGAGCGGTCCGGCGAGTTTGGGATCGCCAGTAAACCTTCCCTTTATTTTTTGTGGGTGAAAAGGACGTAATGAGGAATGATTAAAATCGAGCTAATTTTTTTCAAAGTCTTTTTCTGGGCTTCGCTACAGCACAAAACCTCCTTCCTGTCTGAGAGCGCTTTTTCAACTTTATTCAATGGCCAAAATTCAGCAATTTTAAAAGCCTCGCTTCTTCGTGACGGATAAATATCGCGAAATTCTACATAGTACAATGGATTTAGCTGCATGTGACTTGTCCTATAACGGAATCTTGGATAATTTGACGCAAAATTAAATTAAATTAATAAGATCAAAGACGAGCCACTTTATGTTTTTTTTTTCCCTTGACAAATTCCTCCAAAGTAAAAGCTAAAATCTCCAAAGCGGTACAAAAATCACAGGCAAAATGCACTTCACAGCAAAGATCTTACCTTATTCTGTTCGAAAATAAAGTCAAAGGTGCGGGTATCATTCTGTGTCGGACGCGAACAAGCGTTTTTGAGAGCTCCTTTTGTCAATATTTACCTACTTTTGGCGCCTACACTTAAACTCATATGATAAGGCTAATATTTTTCCCACGGGGCAGAATCTTGGTATGCTTCGTCAAAATAACGTACATTTGTTGTTTTGTAAGCCATCTTAGGCCTGTAAACCGGCATAAAATGTCATAAAATACATGTAGGATCATGTAGGAATTCTTCATCTACTCGTATATTATGCAAATTTAAAAGCTCATTTACCGCGGGGTTGTCGATTTCAGCAATATTCCAAGTCGTAAAGAATACAATTCACTTCTGGTCAAACGAAGCCCGTTTTGAGTTTGGAGTCTCAGCAACTAAAAGGTTCTTTAATAAAGACTGAATTCAGCTCAATTTCCTTTTGGGTTTTCTTCATGGTCATATGCTAATTGGGATTGTTGTCACGTAATGAAAGCGGATTTGGAGAGTTTAAAGGAGAAAGCAAGTTGGTGCCTCTTAGTCAATGTAACAGGTGAGCGTTATTACAGCTCGATTCGAGGCGATGTCGCTTAACGAAAGAAAATATTACAGAGAGCGAACTTACTTTGCAGCGGGCTGGGTATTTTGGTAAAACTGCCCAACAAGGTGAAAAAATGTTTGTATGTCCGATACATCGTGCGAACCTAGGGAAGGACTGGGGTAATCCAACTGGCCGCACAGAATGCCGATATCCGGACCATAAGGGAAAACACACTTGTGCTGAAACGTGGCAGAGTGTCGAGGTCAGACTGTAAAAATTGCCGCCAACCGAGAAACTTCCAACAAATCTCCTAGTGGTGTCTGCAAATTCGAGGCTAGTGGATGGGCGGCTGCAGAAGTTAAGGGGAGGCGGGACAAGGTTTAGCGAGAAAGTCAAGTCTTACCTCACCGCACGATTTGATGTTGATACAGAAACAGGCAGGAAACCAGATCTTTCTGAGGTCGCAACGGACATGAGAACGTCCAGAAACACAGGTAGTTCAAGAACGTTCCAGAGACGAATGGCTTACAAAGGGAAAAGTTCAATCATTCTTTTCCAGACTGTCTGCAATCAGCAGGAAAAAAAGGGCTGACCAGAGCCGGGAATGTTGAAATTTGTGACGAAGGAGATCTGCTCTCAGTGCTCTTGCAAGAAGAAATTGCGTTTCTTATTGATGAACGTAGAGACAAGGAGGTCTAACATATTTTCAATATGGCACGATGGCCATGATATCTGCGAGCAGACCAATCAAGAAGTACTCTCAAAATTCAATGTGAAAACATCTGCGAATATTTTGAACTGTCGTTCAAATCTTGAGATACAAAGGCTGCTCTAATAATCACAATCACAGACATGGTGAAAGAATGCAGTTACTGCCGCACCACCCCGTAAATGGCCAAGGACTGGCAAATTGCCCCATTACATTGGGGTGGGCCGAAGTTGCCTAGAAAATTCCTATTGTTTCTAGGCCGAGTTCGTGGAAGTGTTTTCTCTTAAATTTCAAGGTATGTTGTATGCTTGTATAAGACGATAAATCTCAAATAACTTATAACTTGACATCAACCTTTAAAAGTATGTGACCTGCTTTTTCGTTCAGTACTTTATTTACAATACAAGTAAAAAAGCAGGCCCCAGTTGTTCAAAAGTTGGGTAGGGCTAGGCTATCCATCGGACGAATCTCTGTCCAATTGATAAGTATTAGGGAAACCATTTGTTCTATCCAGTGGATAGTGATTTACACGGTGGATAGCGCTATCCATGGCCACCTATTGAACAACTGGGCCCCAAAAGGATAAAAGTTGTGCGCAGGACAGATTTTATTTCATTAATAGAATTTTTTCTTATAGATATGAGTTAAGATCATTATGTGACACTTCACTTTTTGGCAATAAAACATAAATAACGTAAAAAAGTAACCAATGCATATCAGCGGCACCCAACGACTGTTTTCTGTGAAATATCTGTTCGGAGAAGCAAAATTGCCCAGAATTTTCTGTAGCTTGAGGAAGACTAAAAATTTATTAGGGGGCTGCATTGATTTTAGCTTCTTGATAAAGCTGTATATATGTATGTATATAATAGAAGTAGACTGATGGGACTGGATTATATCTTGAACATTTATTGCTACTCAGAGAGTCATGCCTCTTGCGAGGCGAATCATCAGGTAAAACAAAACAATAAATGCCAGGCGTGGCGTAGGTGCGTGGTGCGTCGTACTTAAGTGATGCTTACAGCATGTCAAATTTGCGACAAGAACTAACCAAGTTAGGACAGTGTTTAGTAGAAATTTCTTTGAGTGCCTGCAACCTGAGATTAGTTCATTTCTATTGTCCAGGGTAGACATTACAGGTTTACAAATTATAAACAGCGCGACGAGCCACGCGCCACGCGCCACGCGCCACGCCTAGTATTTACTGTTCTGTTTTACCTATATCTTTGATTGTAACCGTTAATTTTGGCAGTTGCCTGATGATTGCCTCGCAAACTGTGACTGAACTGAAACTCTGGGTAGCAACAAAATGTTCAAGATTTAATCCAGTTTCATCAGTCTACTTCTATTCTGCTCTAGGTTAACTATTGAGCACTTGAATATATTTAATATATAGATATTTGCGCCTTATAAGTTTTTGAAATCACCTTAATTATAAGTTTTTGAGCACTATCGATGAGGACACCACTCTGGCACTTCGTTGTATGTATAATATATATTATCCCTCCAGCCCTGTAAAATTCTTTTTTAATCTCGGTATACTCGTCCTCTCCCCACCCCTATTAATAAGGTAATGGTTCACCCTTTATTTGTTTATGGAAAGAAAGGGATCGATACATGAGGTATATTGCGTGACAAAAATGCAAATTAGCATATGACTGAAGGCGTGTGGGACAAACGTTCAATATTACCTGCACTAGGAAAAATATTACAACAGACATACCCTTCACCAAACTTAAAGTGATTCATAATAATTTCTCAAGAGGTACACGAGAAAAGTCACCCGAGGTGAGAGAATCCGACATGTTCATGATAAATGAGGGATAAACACGGATGTGGGAATTCAAATTCAAATCATGATGTCAAATGCTCGAAACGGAAAAAGAAACTCAAATGGAATATGAGATAAATTTCTATTTTAAAAAGGGTATCCAGTTGCTGAGTTTCCAAGCTGAAGATTGATTACATTTGAGAAGAAGTTAATAACCGTACGTAGTTTTAGATTTTAACATAGCTGAACTGGACAACCTGTCTGTAAACAAGCACGATTTGCATATCCGACGGGTTGATCAAGAATGTCAGTTTATGGTATTTTTTCGGCTTTCACTGATACAAACTTAAAAAGGCTAATGAAAAGAAAACACATTTTCGTTATTTTGAGGATACACAACAACATTCTCAGCTACTGAGATAATATCTACTAAATTAAAGTCGTTGTGTGTGAACCGTTAAGCGGGCAAATCTATGCAAATAATGCCGAACAGAGGCTCTTAAAAACGTTTGATCACGTCCAACCCAGAACGATACCCGCACCTTTGACTTTATTTTCTAACAGAATTAGATAAGATCTTTGCTGTGAAGTGCATTTTACCTGAGATTTTTGTACCGCTTTGGAGATTTTAGCTTTTATTTTGGAAGAAGTTTGTCAAGAGGGAAAAAAAACGCAAAGGGGGTTGTGTTTGCTTGTATTAATTTAATTTAATTTTGCGTCAAATTATTCCATATTCCGTCACAGGACAAGCCAACTGCAGCTAAATCCATTGTACTAAGTAGAATTTAGCGATATCTATCCGTTACGAAGAAGCGCGGCTTTTAAAATCACCGAATTTCGGCCATCGAATAAGGTTGAAAAAGCGCTCTCAGACAGGAAAGAAGTTTTGTGCTGTAGCGAAGCCCAGAAAAGGATTTTGAAAAAAATTAGTTCGATTTTAATCATTCTTCATTAAGTCCTTTTCACCCACAAAAAACAAAGGGAAGGTTTCCTGGCGATCCCAAACTCGCCGGACCGCTCTTAGGTGGACAGCCACTTAATACTTCGCAAATTCTTTACCGGGAAAGCCTAGGAGGCCTGTCGAGCGTCGGAACTAGAACTTGGAGGGTCGTGAGTTCGATTCTCACCAGGAGCTCGGAATTTTTTCGCAACTTTCTGGTTTTAGAATTCTTCTTCTTCCAAAAAATATTTATGTCCTACATTCAAACTCCCTTTATGCTAACTTCATACTGGTTGAGCATTCTTAGTTCCATACACATATGGTTTCAGTGTTGGGTAAAAATTAAACTGACGTTTGCTGGTTATAAGAATGGTGGTTGCTTTGAGTGCTCTTCTTCTGCATTCCTTCCACTGTAGAGACAACCGTCCTTGAAACAGCGGGAACAATTAAACGCAAACGAAAGAAGTGCTTGCTTTTTAGGGGCTGTTATATGATACCGAAATGACTTATATTCCGGAATGATTTTCGTTCCAGACAGAAGTTCGTACTGCATTCACATGGTAAAGTCGAAAGGCTCAGCTTTAAGGCGTTCTGGCTCGCGTGGTTTAATTTTCGCGCTAGATCAGATACTCATGCGCCACCCACCCCAGACTATAATCCTGAACCAATTTCGTTTTCAGTTTAGGGATACCAGAATTAAATTTCCTACAAAAACGAGAATCTCATTCACAATAAAAACCGGAATGACTGAGAAGTACGGAAAAAAGAATTCCTCTCGTTATCACGTGAACAGGTGCAAATAGTGGAGATGGAATGAACTCGCCCCGGAATGAAATTGTTTCCCGTATACGGTAAAGGCGCACACGAGCCAAAGGTCCAAACGGCCAGAGTTTATCGCGGTTTCCTTAGCACGAAAAATGCCTAGCAGTATCACACAAACAGCCCCAAATTCTATTGATTGACTAACTTGCAAGTAACGAAATACTTTTAATTACTTCTCATCAACGTATAATTCCATGCTTAAGGGAACGTTTAATTATCATTCAATTTAAGGTTAGGGTTAGGGTTAGCTTACGAGACTTTAGGTCTCAAAAGGTAAGTTTCACGATGTACACTTAGTTTGATTAGAGCTCGAGTCATGAGTGGTAGGTTTTTGACTTGTTTATTGTATCGAGAATTGAAAGGTTTGGAGAACTTTTGCTAAATGTGTAATTTTTACCATATTCGCCATTTGCGTCAAAATCGCAACTTTTCAAAGGGCCCTCTGATTCATCTCCAGGCCCCGAGCAACGAGAGACCCCAAATTCGCGTAAGTTCTGAGCAAAATGGCTTCCTGGTTTGCTACCGTAACAAACGAAAAGATTTCACAAATAAACGAAGAAGCTGCTCCCGACAACACGAAGAAGGTGACAAAAGTCGATTTGGCAGTTTTTACAGGTAAAGCTTCTCTGTTTAACCTAAACTTATCGAACCAGTGAAAAAGTTTTTTTTTTGCTGAAAACTAAAATACAATATTAATATTAAAACAGTAAATCTAAATCAAATGGTCTTTTAAACAGAATGGTTCCAAATACAGAAGAATTCACAATTCGTGGTCGGACTCTGCCTCAGGAGCTTGAGATGAACTGCTTACGGTTCGCAAGCCAGTCGAAGATGATGGCGGTTAAGACCCTGAATTATGGGCCGATACAATGGGTAACTGAAACAGCAGTATCCAAGATATGGAGTGCAACAAATAACATCATTATCAATGTCTTGGGAGGATTGTCTCGACATTTAAAAGTCATGATGAAGGAGCTGGTGGGGATGAAGAACAAGTGCATGAAGAGATTTGATGCAATATTATTATTACGTTTGTCTAGTAATAGTTGACACTACAGCTGCCCCAACTCTGTATATGGTCGGGTGAAAAGTATTCTTGCTCGTTGTGTAGCTCTTTGAAATATACCGATTCATAATGAAGATTTTCACCCATATTCCGTACAATATGTGAGATAAATACAGGAAACGCAAGGTTCCATGTACAGTTTCCCTTCGATTTCCACAGCTTTAATAAAAAAAATTCTCAGTTTCGAGAATAGTTTATTCTAAACCGTAAGAAAAGATTTAATTTGGCAAGGTTTCCAAACAAAGATTTTTGAACTCGTGTCTGGAAAACTCTCCAAGAGTTTAAATATACATGTACACACTGTTATACGCACCTCATAACTTCATCTCCGCTTAACGAGTGTCTTTTGGTCCATAACTTTCAAAAAAACGGCTCCACAGAATGTCACTGATAGCACGTAACGCAAAAGGGTATCGAAGTATGATTGCACAATAAATGTCACAAAATCTGCTTAAGCGGTTCCTTCGAGATTTTCTGCCTTTCCGTCATCCTAACCGCAACGCAAACAATAGAGACGTCATCATTACCTACCGATTCCTCGCGGCCCCTGTTCAAGCAAATCGAGATTTTTTTCTGGCATACTGACTGCATATTTCAACTGTAAGTACTTTCCCTAATATACGCGCGAGTTACTAGAGTAGCTCCTCGGAATTTCGCCTTCTGGGGGAAATCCCTGCAGGGGACAATAATTATTTTAAATTATCAAATGATTTGAATAGTCTAATAATTTTGATTTGTGGTGGTAATTCCTGTAGACATATTTTATTCTAAAGCCCTGGCAAAGTTGAGAGTGCAAGAAGAAAGGCACTCAGAGTAAATAAATATAACGTACAATGAAAAAAGGCGGAGGAACAGAGGTGGAGGGTCGAACTCACAGTGGGCGTATCAGGCTAAAGACATATAGGAGGACGAAAACGAGGAAAAAGTCCTACATCCTATATTACTTGTGGATGTAGGGGAGAGGTCCGAGTGTCAGCCCTCACATTATGTTTAGGTCAAAATAAAACCCAAAGTAAAATTTCGAGGCTAGCCGCCACCCCACCCCTCAGATTTTGGGTTTTGAATGAGCGGGGCCCCTAACATGTTTGAAGATCTGAAACCGATACTGTATACCCTACCCACCAGACTGCCCTACCCCTAGTGAAAGAGTAGGCTTTGTACCAAACGATCAAACTAGCACTTGTGTATACTCAAGTTTTCAGGTTAATATAATTCCGTCTTTCGTCTTTTCCGACCGAGCTTGTGATATTGACTTTTGATGAATGATTATCAAGCTTTGACTCTTAGGCACGTTTCAAACGTTGCACTACTGCCGTGCCGAACTCAATTCATAAATTATAAATACATTAGAATGCATTTAAAAGTTTGCTAAATCTTTTCTTTATTTTTGTGTTTTCTTTTCGGCAACAGCCGTTCTATTCGCCTGAATTAAATTTGGCGTCTGAAACCAAGTCGTGCTAGTGTCGTTCTGCAGTCGAGCCAGCTTAGCACGGCAGTAGCACGACGTTTGAAAGAGGCCTTACTTGAATTCAGGCTGCCCAACACCCTTTATAGCAATAAGCTAGGCATTCACAGACGTAATGTCCACCCTCTGTTTAGTGTTCCAAAACAATGAAACAGCGACCATTTTGGGGTTCCAAACCAGCTGTGGGTCAAGTAAGTGAAAAAGCTCATTCTATTTGTTGAAAGTGATTAATGTGTGACAGGGAGTCATTAAAAATTCTAATCGTTGGCGATAACTTTTGTTCAATTCGACACAGCAATATAAATTATTTTTTTGTTGACTCTTAATTAAAATAGGCTGATTGAAATAAAACTTCACAAGCGCCTTATAATTCTGTCCTCCAAAGGTAAATGAACGATCACCATCAGTTCCGTTATAATATTACTGAACAGTAATATTCTTGCTTTCTCTATCTTGAACTTAGTATTGTCCCAGAAGACAGCCCATCTTAAATGTATGCTTTCGTGTCCTAGAATCACCTTCGCGCCTGTCAGACTTTCATTTGTCTTAAAGTACATACTCATTCAAAAAGTGCTCTAGTATCTGAAAACGTAGTCACTCTCTGCTATACCCCGAATGAATTAATATTTGACTTCAGTTCTCGCGCAGTTTACATAACGTGCTTCAAACCAGGTTAATTATTTTTTTAATTAATTTATTCAGTTCATTCTCTCACCCACTGAAATTGTAAAAGTTTCCAAAATGGAAAAGTCCCTAGGAACCCGTTCTGCTTTTTCCTAGTAATAACCTTTCTGTATCAGCCACCATATTTTCTTTTCCGCCTCGTATTCAACCTTAGTGCAACAACGCACTTTCCAAGCTGCATTGCGCGCACACCTGATCCAACATGTCATCACACATGGCACTCATGGGATGATAGGCAGTGTCATTTCACCCACGTATTCCAGCACTCTAAATAGCATGTGGGATTTTTTTTCAGCAGTTATAACTTTTTGTGTCGTTCCTGTTTTGTTGTGCTGCTGCATATTTTTCTGGGAGGCATCCTCTGAAAGACACTCGACGTCTGTTGAATGGCATTTTTCTTGCAATATCTTGTTTTATTCATTAATTTAGCTATTTTGTATTTGCTCAGCTTTTGACATTTTACCTGCCATTTCCTACAGCGCTGCAATCAAACAGCTGAGCCTTCGGACTTCCATCTTGTGATTTTTCACCCTTGAACGTTGAACGTAGAAAAAAAAACTTGCGTACAGTTGGCCGCGCACTCGCAGTGTATGTAATAAAAATCAGCAGTTGGATGACTCAAACTACCTGAAGCCCATGCCAGCAGGAAGGGAAAGGTGACACCCTGCTTAAAAGGAGATTTTGATGTAAAATTTCACTATGGCCTCGAAATTCTGCGTTGAAGAGCTTAGTGAACAGTTATCGCTTGTTGATTCACACCGGGGCTTTATTGAGGCTTTTTGTATTTTAAACTTGACGTTTGCACTGATTGCAGCTCTGGAAAATCTCCTAGTTTTTCGCGCATTGTGGAAATCCTCTACGATACCTGCTACTGTAAAAAAGTTGTTCTTGAGTCTCGTTGTTTCCGATTTTGCAGCCGGAATTTTGGCCCAGCTGATGTTTGGTGTCATCATCGCGGTAATTTTAAAAAAGACATCGAATGGAGACCAGAGTATTGCCTCCTTTTGTCCGACAATTTTAAACCTCTGTTATTTCTTGTTGGTTCTGCTGTGCAGTGCATCATTTTTGACGATAACAGCCATTGCAGTTGACAGGCTTCTTTCTATTTCACTGCATCTACGATATCGCGAGCTTGTGACCCCGAAACGTGTGATTATCGTACTGATGGCCTTATGGCTGACAAGTGGTACGACTGGCTCGCTTTTTATTATACTCCCTGAACATAGCAACGCGGTAACTGCGATTGTTGAATCCATTGGGCTATGCCTGAACACCGTGGCGTATATTCGTATCTACAGAGCTGTTAGATATCATGAAAACCGGATACAATGTCAACTTCAGGTACAAAACTCCAATTCTTCAATTGATCTACTTCGGCAAAGAAAGTCGTCTTTAAATGCTTTGGTTGTGTATTTAGTATTCCTGGTTTGCTACCTTCCATATATATTCACTATCATTTTATTGCTAGTACTCGATAGTGAAGACACTTCCTTGCTGTTAGCTGAACGTGCATCGTTGATTCTTATTTTCCTGAATTCGTCAATAAACCCTCTTGTTTATTGCTGGCGATATCGTGAAATTCGAGATTCAGTGAAAAGCACTTTGAAGAAATTATTTTTGCATGAACAAGAATTGGACAGAAGGGAGTGAAAACTTCTGTATCTGACCTACTTGCAGGAGTCTTCTGTGTGATGCCTCAGTTTATTGTGTGCGGTATAGAGTATGTTATCAGTTTAATGATCTCATCGCCCATCACAAACTTAATCAGGCCGACGTTCGAACTTGCATTTGTTGGGCATGGAGTTTTTGTGTCTCTCATTATTACTTTTTTAATAACCGTATATCGTTTGATTTGACGTTAAGCCTATACCCCAAATAAATAGCTGAAAAGCATTACATCTGAGAATTGTGCTAATGAAGTCCTAACGCAGTTCATGCATTATGCTAAATCTCACAAGTCCTGACAAAATATATATGCAGCTGTATTTTGAACCCACGCAACTAATTGCACTAACCTTCCAATACAATAACATGAAAAAAATGAAATAAAATAAAATAAAAAAAGAAAGAAACGAATTACTGCGCTTTTCACAAACATGCGAACTCCAAAGTTCAAGAGCCGCCTTCACAATCGCGTTTTTCGCTGCCGTCAACCATAATTACGATCACAAAATCATTCGTTCATTTTATTTTCCATATATACAAAATTTTACAACGCAAGATGGAAATAATATGAGATTAAAGAAAAAGTAAATTTGAGCAAATAGGTCATTTAGAATAATCCTTGAATAGGGAGAAGCACATCGGAAAATGCTTAGTTATCATTACGTGCGCCTACTGTATAATGCTTCTAGAACCAATTTTGAGAATCATGTTTATCAGAGGTAACTGTTTGCTTAACTACCAAATAAAGTAGCCATAATATTCCCAATATTTATACTTTTTATTTACGGTTATGACGATACAAGCCGGCGAATAATATATTCTCAATAGCAAACAATGACATAGATAAGAAGTCAATGAAACGTTTTATAGCATAAACAAATTCTGTATCTGCCCGCTAGCTTTCGGCGACGCTGGCTTCAAAAAGGGCATCGGGGGCTTGGCGTCTAGTGCTGGCAAACAGCTCAGGGTCAGACCTAACAGTTGGGAGGAGGGGAGGTGTGGTAGGTCTCCGTCTAAAGTAAAAGGGTAAGGAAGGAGGCTTTTGAAACTTTGATCAGAATGAGAGTTAATATTTATGCAGGAGTGCACAGTTAACAAAAAATTATCCCTGCGGGCTAGCCCAGCCAAATCATTGCACTGTCTGAGAAACATAATGCGGCAAAGTGAAGAGATATGCATGCATTTAGTGCTTATCTGGGCCCTGAGTAGTGCATGAGATGGTTTTGCCTGGGTATACGGTCGCACCTCGTTGGGTCAACAGTGTTGTCAGAAGCTTAGAGATTGTGCTTCGGTTAGTAACATCCAAATTTAGTGGGTAAAATCTCCAAAGTGGTTCACACTTTCAGGCTTGTTCCGCAATTTCATTACACAGCTCTACCCTCAAGGGCACCCAACGGCAATTTTCGGAAAATATCTGTTCTGAAGACGATTTGAGACCTAAAATTTTCGTAACATTTGTTGTAAAATTTCTTGCTGGCCTGCCTGTCCTAGGATGGTATAATTACCCATTTATTTACCCTAAAAAAGGCCACCTAGAATTTTCGGGAGCCTTTTCCTGGCTGAAATTTTCGAACAGGTAAATTTTGATTCCTATAATTATTGGATCACTAGGCTTTCAGCTAGGAAATCCGAACAGATGAAAAGTTTTTAGGGGATAAAAATATGCCCATATCTACCGTTTAAATACTAAAATACGTTCAACAATGCTATGTCAAGTGGTTTTGAACTATATCCTCGTTGGGTGCCCCTGTACCCTTTGAAATGTTTGGTGGCCATCCAGTTTCGTTGTCGGTGTAAAGAAGGAAAACTGTCAGACAAAGCCCAGAAGATTACACTTTCCTTAGTCAGCCAATGCTGAGAGGGATTTGGGTAGATTTCAACCGCTGTCTGTCTAAGTGGCCTTGGTTTTATTATAACAATCACATTGCTGAGCACCATTTACAGACGAGACATTAAATCGACTGGGACTCTGCGACATATATTACGTATTCTACAGACTACTACTTTAGACAACGAGTCACTTTAGAAAGCGGGGCTACTAACTTAGAACAAACGCTACTGAATTTTAGTCAACAGTCACAGGAACCGTACAAATGACTTATTGACGGAATCAAGCAAAACTAACTACGAGATAATGATTGGACAACTGACAATTTGACTAACAATAAACGACTGTCTAACTGTGACAATAGACGGATCAAAACGCACCAATAACATTACGAGTCTTCATAGCCAATAACATCACGACTTAACTGACGGACGACCAATAACATCGCTACTTAATGTTATCTTAGTGTTACCCTCCGAGATCTGGATAATTCTTCATATCCTACGAAAGCCGAATTCAACAATTGCTTTTTTATTCATTCAAAACACAATTCCAAGTTTAAAAACAAGCTAAAACATGCTTACCTCCGTCGAAGTTAATCAGAGCCAGGTTTATTGGGAAAGTTAAGAGATAAAGGATGTTCAGGTCTGAGAATATACTCCAAATAGCAGATGTCGTAAGTCGAGTTGTCTTCTTGCTGTTCTTGCTATGTTTTTAGACAATAGTTCGCCGTGAAATGAGTAAAATGTTCCGCCATTACTCACTTGACCATTATCCACTTCGAAAACAACTCAAACTCGTCAGCAGGTCTTCCCTGTTAACGGAGTTTGACTAATAGTCGCGGGTCGCGGGTCGCGGGTCCAAAGTCGCGGTCGCGGGTCCAAAGTCGCGGTCGCGGGTCCAATGTCGCGGTCGCGGGTCCAAAGTCGCGGTCGCGGGTCCAATGTTGCGGCAGGGGAAAATGATTTGGGGTTCGAGGTAACAGCTGAGTGAAAACCACTGATATGAACACAATATAAAGGGAAAAAATCTTTTTTATGCACAATACTCTACGGTAGCCAATTTACAGGTTACGCATGTTAGAGTCAACAAAGTAATGTCTCAAGAAATAACCTAAAAGAAAAAGGTGGCCGACAATTGTGTTCAGCGCAAGTTTATTTTTTTTTCTCTCTGTCGGGCTCAGTTATGTGTAAATTCGAGCTTTGAATATACTTATGCATAACAGTATCTGATAAAAAAAAGTTACCATAAGTTACCATTGCTTTCTTCTTGTCGATGAATTGCTCACAAATGCTTAAGGGTTCAATTACTGAAAAATATGCGATACACTTCATAGACTACAGATTATAAACGTTACAACAACTTAAAGCCTTTTTTTTAAAAAAGCGAACTCGGGCTCAAAAAGCTACGAGTCTGTCGGTAGAAGAAACGAGAACACTTATATTTAACAAATGTTTTCGGCAAAACTGAAAGAAAATGTAAATAGGCGCATGAAACTTCATTCAAGCGGTATTCAAGGCATGAATTTAATATGGAAACAAGTAATAATCCACAGAAAGAAGTCTGTTCCTCGAAGCAAGATTTTCGCTTAATGCTTTTATTTTTACAACTGAGACGGCAACCCAGAGAGTTCAATATAACTTCTTGTTCTCTTCACCTAAATGGCAACCAGGACAACTTGACAATAGGAAGCCATTCAATGTGCGTCTCAGCCAAATCTTGAAAACATGCATCGTAAATAACTAAGTGAGTAAGTAGGTAAGGAAATAATAGCGCCCGATATCATGAAGCTGAAAAAGAAAGTAAACCGGACACTGAAAACGATAAGTTATCAACTCCACCAGAGTTAAGAAAAGACAATAAATTAGGTAAGTAATTCCAGATTCCAGGTACTGGATTCAAGTCTTTGTCAGTAGAACCAAGAGACTATGATCTATTCTCTCTTGGTAGAACTTGGATTCCGGATTTCAATCGTTATTGGGAACAAACTCCTTTCTGTGGACAAGAGAGGATAAAGCTCGAGCTTTATCCCCTCTTGCTGTGGATTATTACTTGTTTTTTATTAAAGTCATGCCTTGAATACCCGCTTGAATGTACTTTACTGGCACTTCAAGCCCAACGTCTCTCCTCCTCTTTCCAGTTACTTTTGCAAAGAGTTTATTTTGGGAGTTTGCGACTGTTACGCGGGTAATCTTTTAGAGGACGGGTAGCTTGCAAACTAAACTGAACGCAGGGTTGTCGGAACAGCAATAAGAAGATTTATTCCAAAGATGAACGTAGTTTCCACTGAGTAAAACTCCACAACAGCACGTAACTCGTTAAACTTACACGGCCTCCGCCAACTTGAATAAATACTGCCTTCGTCACACTTGACTAAACACGACCAACGTCAAACTCTCTTCGCTTGTGAAAACTAGTTAAAACTTAACTCGGGCTCGCCTATCTTATATACGTTTACAATAAGATTCTAGAACTTTCCAAATAGTCTAATTATAGAAAGATTACAAAATATACCGCTTTTAGAAACGCTTACACAAGATCCTAAAATAAACAAATTATGAACTCTCGCGAAGCTTCTAGAAAGTCACACTAGTCACGCAATACAATTTTTCGTAACAGCGACCAGGAAGTTTTTCAACAAGCGTTTTCTTTATTTTTGCCAAAGTATTTGTTAAAATTGAAACAGTTCTCGTTTCTTCTACCGACAGACTCGTAGCTTTTCGAGCCCGAGTTAGCCTTTTTTAAAAAAGGTTTTAAGTTTTTGTAACGTTTATAATTTATAGTCTATGAAGTGTATCGCACATTTTTCAGTGAATGCACCCCTAAGAATTTGTGAGCAATTCGTAGACAAGAAGAAAACAATGGTTACTCATGGTAACATTTTTTATCAGATACTGTTATACATAAATATATTCAAAGCTGAATTTACACTTAACTGGGCCCGACAGAAAGAAAACAAAATAAACTTGCGGTGAACACAAAAGTCGACCAGCTTTTTCTTTTAGGTCTTTTCTTGAGAGATTATTTTGTTGACTCTAACATGCGTAACCTGTAAATTGGCTACCCTTGAGTATTGTGCATAAAAAAGATTTTTTCCCTTCATATTGTTTTCATATCAGTCGTTTTCAAATCATTTTCCCCTGCCGCGACATTGGACCCGCGACCGCGACATTGGACCCGCGACCGCGACATTGGACCCGCGACCGCGACTTTGGACCCGCGACCGCGACATTGGACCCGCGACCCGCGACCCGCGACCCGCGACTATTAGTCAAACTCCTGTTAACGATTCAATAATCTGCATCTTTGCTGCTCTTTTGACGTCATCGGTCAAAATTCTTCCAAATTTAATCAACAGTAGCTGGTTATGATGAATTATGCGAGGGATTTAAGCCAATCAGAAACGGAGAAATATTTTGAATGAATAATAAATGTCCCTTATCAATTATCAAAACAATAATTTTGTAAAATCAGTCGCTATAAATCGGGGTCCAAGGTTGGTCCTATCGACCAGGAGATTTGGATCAAAGAGTTTGGACGAGGAACTTCGCGTTAGATAATGAAACGTTTTGAGGGGGAAAGAAAAATTCGGACATTTCAACAACTAAACACTCGGACAAGAAGCAAACCAGCTGACCCATAAAGGAAAAAAAAAGCTATCTACTCTTTTGAAAAAGAAAAAAAAGCAAAAAAACAAAAAACAAAACAACAACAACAACAACAACAACAAAAAACAAAACTACAACAACAACAAGTAATAATGCCAGAATCAATTTTTATTAACACTCTGATTCAGATTCGGTTTTTCTCAATTTTTCCTTCAATTTTTCTCTTAAGTTACGTTGCGTTCATCTTTTTATTTAATACACTGTTTTTTTTGTTAACGACAAAAATGTATTAGGTATTGGTAAGACTTGACCGGAAGGATTTCAAATTAGTCTAGATATAGTAGTATACTATGCTGTTTTTACTCCTTTTGAGTGGATTCCCTTTGGATTCCGTCACAAAAAGTAGATTCCCTTCATTACATATGCAGGATTCCCTCACAAAAATGTGTTCCTCTATATCTATAAGTGCCTTCCTGCATATGTAATGAGCGTTTCTCTACTACAGTAGGCACAATAGGCTTGCCAAGACTTGCCCGGTAATTGACTTTACTTTTGTTTCCGGACAGTCTATTGAATTCTGTTTTGAGTTTGTAGAAATCGACTGGGGTGTCTCCGTTTAATTTTGTTTTTTTTACTTGTACGAA